ATTTATTTTGCCCCCTCCCCATGCGTCTCCACTCCATGCACCCACCTTCAGGCGTGCTTTTACCCCCTCCGACCTCTTTTGATAACATTTCATTTAATTTGCCCATATTGAAGTTCCTTTGAGAGACCTACGTATGTTACACACACACACACAGAGCTTCTAGGGAAATTAATTTAGAAGAAACGCTGCTTCCCTAGCGGCCATGTTGAACTTGTTTTAGATTGTGATTGCTTTAGTATTTACTGCTTGCCGATGCTGAAAACAACACCGTACTTTGACTGGCACCCCAGGCTTTGCAGTTTGCTTTACATGGACAAAGGAGGGGAGAGGTTAGGGTTGGGCAGCCAGGCCTTGAAAAAGTTACTTTTCTGCAAGCAATGAGTAATAATAAATAATAATAAACTTTATTTATACCATTATCTCCTCAAAGGGGACTCAGGGCAGCTAACATGAGGCCAAGCCCAAAAATACAATACAGCATATTAAAATACAGAATGCAGACAACAAAAAATTACATCAGAAAATACTTACAGTAGCAAAATAAAATAAATAAAGCAAATTAACACAAGATAAAATCGATCAGAATGGGCAGGCCAAATGGAAGAGATAAAATGATATAACCTTGGATGAGGTAGGAATAGAAAATATGTGAGTGAGGGGAGCCCAAAAAGGATAAAACAGTGGGGTAAGGCTTTCAGTTTAGGACAGGAAAAAGTGACAGCAATGAACTAAGATATATAGCTGTGGAGGATCAGTTTAAGATGGTAACAGAAAGGTTGACTTTGAAAGGATCAGTTTAAGTTTGAGAGAGAAATGGCAGAAGAAATTGGCATAAGATAGAGAGGCAAAACTGATAGTAAATAGGGGTGCATCTGCACTATAGAATTAATGCAGTTTGACATCACTTTAACTGCCATAGTCAATGCTATGGAATCATGCTCTTTTGTGGGTAAGTACCACAAAATTAATGTGGAATCATGGCATTATAAGTGTGTAGTGTGAAAGGGTCCTATGATGAGTACTACTCCGCATATTATCTGCTTCTCTCTTTTATCTTGTCTTAGTTTTTAATTAGTTTTAATTAGGGCTGGGTAACCACGGAAAAATTTGTTTCTAAACTCGATTCGTTTCCAGGGGGCGCTAGCCTTTCCAAATTCTAAATACTTCCGAAATTTTGAGATTTCAAAATTTCGTTATTTACGAAATTTCATTAATTTCGAATCGATTCGTTAATGGCGGACGCAATTGCGCAATATGCTAAAAAAACCTCCAAATGGGACAGGGGGAACTTCTGAAGCTTCCCTCTCACTCTGTTGTTGACTGTTGGTGTGATAAAACAAACAACAACTATAAAACTTGCACCAGACATGCGAAAATAATTACGAAAAAATTACGAAATAATTTTGAAATAATAACGAAACAATAACAAAATAAATTGAAAAAATTGTTTCGAATCTAATTTACTCCTCACACTATTCCTGCATGGCTCAATATCGGATCGTAAGCTAATTTAAATACGAATTAATAACGAATTACAAAATTAATGAACGAAACCGCCCAGCCCTAGTTTTAATTAGTTGTTTTTAATAATTACACGTAGCCCGCCCATTGTCTCTGTGTCTGTGTCTATTGTAATTTTATATTGTTATGTATTCATATGTTCTATGTAATTATGATGTTTATTGTTTGCGTTTTTGGTTGTGTTTTGGTTCTCTTTATTGTAATTGTTGTTCGGGCCTGGCCTCATGTAAGCCGCTCCGAGTCCCCATAGGGGAGATGGTGGCGAGGTACAGATAAAGTTATTATTATTATTATTATTATTATTATTATTATTATTATGTTGGGAGGAGGGTTTGTAGTTCTGCAGAATTATGCAGCAGTACAATTAACCCCAAAAGAGAATGGTCAACAAAGAGAGAATCCCAACAAAGGATTCCCCCAGGCAGGAAACAGCCGGGCTTTGAAGCTGCAAGTCTATTCAATGCTAATCAAGGCGGCCAATTGCCTCAAGCAGACAAGAGTTCTTTCTCCTAACATGGACATTCCTTAGATATATAAACCTCACTTGCATAGTTTCCAATAGACCTCTCAACCTCTGTGGATGCTTGCCATGGATGTGGGCAAAACGTCAGGAGAGAATGCTTCTGGAACATGGCCATACAGCCCAGAAAACTCACATCAGCCCAGAATGGCCATACTTTTGCACAAATGAATAAGTGCTTTTAAAAGGAAGTTTCTTTTCACATTTCCAACAGAAGGGATCATATATACTGCCTTATATCAGGAGAAATATCTGTTCTTGGCATTTAAGATATGTGATATGTGATTGCTTCATTTCATGTGTGCATATAGTTAGTTTTAGACAAGAAGTGTGTCAAATTTGTTGAACTATTCCTCGTTTGTAATCTTTCTTTAGTAGTTTCATATTATTTTTGAACTCTGGTACTACATTTTCTGTTAAAGAAGTGATCTTTAGCAACACATCTACTTTGTTAACTGAGGTACATCTGAATATAGTTTACTAAATCTGCCACGATCCCTTTAGTTTCCTTTCATTTCCAGTGTAAATAATGCAAATTGTCAATGTCAGTGTTTTATGTCATCGTGAATTAGTCTTCAAGATGCCACAAAATACTTTGACTTTTGTTGCAACACACTAACACAATTACTGCTGTTAGAGTATCCAGTCTGTTCAGCTTATTATAACTCCAAGTGCTCTTAAATTGCATCTCCCAAAATTCCTTATAGCTAGGATTGATGAGAGCTGTACTGAAACAGCTTTTGGGGTGCCATACTTTCTGCATTCTTGGTCCAAATGTTTACTACATACACCGAATATAGGTGATGTAATAAAGAGCAGAAGATCTGGCTCTGTAAGAGAGAAAAGGAAGGTGATACTTAGGCCCCTTCTACACTACCAGATAATCCAGCAGAAAATCCACATTATCTGTTTTGAATTGGATTTTAAAAGTCCCCTTCCAGACAGGCCCAATATCCCAGGATCTGTGTATCCCAGATTATTTGGCAGTGGGGACTCATATAATCCAGTTTAAAGCAGAAAATCAGGGATCAGATCCTGGGATATAGGGGCTGTCTGGAAGGGCCTTAAGTCTGCATTGCCATCTAATCCCGTTCAAAGCAGATAATGTGGATTTTATACAGCTGTGTAAGGGGCCATTGTCACTGTTTCATCAGCATAAGGGCATTGTAGGAGGTGACATCTTGTACCTCTTGCTGCAACATTTGCACTCTTAGGCTGGATCTGCAATGCCATATAATCCAGTTTCTGGATACAGATTACCTGATTTGAACTGGACGATATGAGTCAACACTGCCATATAATCCAGTTCAAATCACATAATCTGGATTCAGAAACTGGGTTATTTGACAGGGTAGGTTCAGCCTTGGTATGCAACAGTAAGTATATTGGGGGTTTCTGGGTGCAGTTGCATCCAGGCCACCAGTCAGATGTGTATGGGTGAAAGAAGGCACCTTGGTTTGTTCCAGTTGCCCTAGACTAGGGCAGTGGTCCTTAAACTTTGGTCCTCCAGATGTTTTGGACTTCAGCTTCCAAAATTCTCAACTCTTGGACAAGCTGGCTGGTGTTCCTGGAAGTTGAAGTTCAAAAGACCTGGAGGGTCCTCCAAGTGTTTTAGACTTCACCTCCCAACATTCCTGACTGTTGGCCAAGTCAGCTTTCTGGGAGTTGAATTCCAAAACAACTGGAGAATGAAAGCTTGTGCATCACTGCCCTAAAGTTTGCAAGACAGGTCTCTCTCCTCTTCCAAGGCCATATAAAATCCAGATTACCTTCTTTGAACCTGATTATATGGCAGTGTAGACTCATACAATCCAGTTCAAAGCAGATAATGTGGATTATCTGATTTGATAATCTGAATTATATGGCAGTGTAGATGGGCCCTAGACCCTCCAGCATTATCCTACAATATGCTTCCTATGGGTTGTTTGTTCAATAGGGTTTTCTATTACCCACAGTTTTATATATCTGTGGCAAAGTCCTGGAACTTTTCCGTCAAAGATTCAGGTGTCACATTTTTGGCCCTTGGAATGTCCCTGAATAAGGGCCCTTCTACACTGCCATATAATCCAGAATATCAAGGCAGATAATCCACATCATCTGTTTTGAACTAGATTATCGGCGTCTACACTGCCATATAACTCAGTTCAAAGCAGATAAACCCTATACAGTTCTGGCACAGTTTACCTATCCGAACATATTTTCCTCTATGAACCATCAAGGCTGTTAAGATCTCCTGGAGGGGCCCTGATCTCAGTCCCACCACCCTCACAATCGCATCTGGTGGGAACAAGAGACAGGGCCCTTTCTGTGGTGGCCCCCCGGCTATGGAACGCTCTCCCGATTGAGATCAGATCTGCCTCCTCCCTCCTGACCTTCAGGAAGCTAGTGAAATCCTGGCTATGGAACAAGGCATTCCAAGAATGATGGCGGAGACTGGCAATTGACTAAAGTTATCGACCACATATGTGGACTGAGTGGGACATAATTTTATCTTGACAAACTGGCTTTTATATATTTTAGTCTATATGTATTTTAATTTATTGTTGATGTACGATGTTTTAGATTGTATTGTTAGCATTGAATCCTTGCTGTTAGCCGGTCTGAGTCCCTCTACAGAGGTAGAGAAGATCGGGATACAAACGTTTTAAATAAATAAATAATAAATAAATAATCTGGATTTTATACAGCTGTGTGGAAGGGGCCTGAATGTTCTGTGGTAGTGATTCAATCATTTGGAAGCAATGAGGGTCGGAACTGGAATAGACTAAACAGAAATGGGAACGGATTATTAAAATGAGCATGTAACTAACTATATGATCCAATTTCCTTTTGATATACTGGCTCAGGATATAGTTATTAATAAGTCAACATGTTGCCCTACAAATCCCACAAACTCTCTAATCCTATTAACAATCTGACTCACAGTTATTTTTCTCGTTCTCTTTCCCTCTCTCCTTAGGGACTAGTTGCACGTTATTCCAAGCCGCACATCACCATGGCATGCCTGCACGAGACCCGCACACCTTCCCCCTCCTTTGGCAGTTTCAACACTATCCTAGCGGAGAGCTCCCTCCGAAAATTGGACCCGGATGCTTTAGACAGCACCCCGGAAAAGGACCTTACGCCGACGCAGTGTGTGTTGAGGGACGTGTTGCCCATCGATGGCGGAGGAGGAGGTGGAGGGGGGCACAGCCCTACCCCCAGCGAAGAGACCCATGACCAGTTTGCCAACAGTGTCCTGCAGCTCCATGAAAATGAAGCTGGGGGCCACGGAGGAGGAGGTGGGGCTGGTGCAGGGGCCGGGGCTGGCAATCCAGAGGTACGGGCCACTCGCTACCATGCTGACCAGGTTCGTCTCCACTGCCAGTCTGGGAGTGGCTTCCTGGAAGGCCTCTTCGGTTGCCTGAAGCCCGTCTGGACCATGATTGGCAAAGCGTATTCTACTGAACACAAACAGCAACAGGAAGGTGAGTAGAAGGACTTTTCTGCACAGGTAACAGCAGGGAATGGTTGGGAAATTTTAAAAAAAAACCTAACCATGGCATCAGAGCAGCTATGGTCTCCAAACTTTGCCAAACACAATTCTTAATGCAGTGGGCAAAGTGCATGCTTTGCATTAAGAAGATTTCTCAGGCCCCTTCTACACTGCTATGTAAAATCCAGATTAAATGCTTTGAACTGGATTATATGACAATGTAGACTCATCTAATCCAATTCAAATCAGATAATGTGGAATATATGATTTGGTAATCTGGATTATATAGCAGTGTAGAAGGGACCCAAGTCTACTCCTTGCGTCTCAAGGAAAAGTAGGACAAGATGGATTTCTGAAATTCAAAATGGTAACTGCCAGTTGGCGTACAATAAGCAACATTAATGCGTAGATGCACCAGGGAGCTGATACAGAGTATGAAAAATGTACTGCACGACTACAATTCCCAGAATCCCCACAACCAGCATGGCTTGGACTGCCAGAATGAAAATTGGAAGTGGGTTCTGTATCTTTCATTATTGAAAAATCCAAAATTCACAAAAGAGTGATAATGTTCTTGGACACTCAAAATTTAGATAATATATCATGCAAGCTTTCAAAGCTTCACTGGCTTATTCATCAACTAAAGATGTTAAAAATTACACGGGAAAAGAAAGGTGATGATGTTAGATCAATGGTTCCTAGCCTTTGGGGCTCCAGGTGTTTTGGACTTCAGCTCCCACAGTTCCTAACAGCTGGTAAGCTGGCTGGGATTTCTGGGAGTTGAAGCCCAAAACATCTGGAGACCCAAAGGTTAGGAACCACTGTATTAGGTTCACAGCCCTACAATTTATCTCAAATGTTCCTCTATTATACTACACAACACAATTTTTGTCCCCGGGTTATACATGTCATTTTCTAATCATAAAAATCTATCATTAAAAAAAACATGGAAAAAGTTGATTAAACTGCAAAAAACTTTCTTCTTGTGGGACATCCTGCCGCACATTTTGATGTAGTTTTTCAATGAATCTCTCATCGAGTCTCAACCAGTTCAACATAATTTGTGGCAACCACAAAAATGACGTTTCTGGAGTAGAACAACTATTTTCAAAGTAAGTTACGGCACAATTAAACAGGAAGTAACACTTTCAAACGAGGAACAGAAAAAAAATTCAAATATAGTGTCTTCACTAGCTTTTTTAGGTATTATAAAAATAAAACTTGCAAATTGAACTCCAAATAAAAAGAGATTTCTATTTTTGGAGTCCCTATACTGTTATGTCTTTTAATTCTTTGAGTTTTTTACCTCCAACAAAGGGAAAAACCATTGGCGGGTATTATCAATACAACATGGAGCTTCAATGGTGCAATGGGTTAAACCCTTTGCCAGCTGAACTGCTGACCTGAAGGTAGTCAGCTCGAATCCATGAGATGGGGTGAACTCTGTCTGTCAGTTCTGTCATGCAAGGACATGAGGGAGGCCAATTCTCTCACACCAGAAGCAACTTGCAGTTTCTCAAGTTGCTTCTAACAGAAGAAGAAAAACTATACAACACCTAAATGTTTTTTCCAGATGTGACAGTAGAGAGAATTCCTAAGATATTGAGTATTCTCTGCCTAAGAAAGAGGCAGTTAGCTTTGCACAGGATGAACCAGCCTGGATCTCAAGAGAATTTATTTTTCTGCTGCTAATGGAATTTAATTGTTATTACCTGCCTTTTATCACCCTTTATCCCTGGTCCTCATGTGGCCAAGAAGGGGGATGGCCTCCATCTGCATTAAAAGGCCATGTTCTGGTACGGCTGTACCAGGAGCTCCAATTTTGTTTGCTTTGTATTAAATGTTTGTTTGCAGTCCCAGGTTTCAGGGACTCTGCAGATAGGTGGCTTCCTTTGGTTGCAGTGATAGGGCAAGTCACCTGTCCATCATCATTAAGTTTTGGTCCCGTCCCTTGCTCAGGGCAATTGGGAAGGGAAGGGAGCCATTTTTTAGTTAATCTCAGCAAGGAAAGCTATGTACAGGACGTGTGGAAGCTTCCTCTGTACAAAAGCTTCAACTTTTAAGAATCTCCAGGGAAGAACAGTTTTAAGAGTCACCTAAGAATTTCCAGGGAAGCATCCCCAAAGCTTTGAAGACTTTCCAGGGGAGAACAGCCCTAAAGATCAAAGAACTCCAGCTGAAGAGACCACAGGCCTTGCTGGTAGGTCCACTTAGTGCTTTGAGATGCAGTTCAACCCAGTAGTGGTGCCCACATCAGTTAGGCAGCCTGGGAGAAGTTAAAAGGGGGATTTTTCATTTAAAGTAAAGAAGAAGTTATTGAAGACAGTTGCCTGTCCTTCATGGGCAAGATTAGGAAGTCACCAGTTGAATAAAGCCTGGAAGCATTTGTTTAGCTTTATTGAAGACAAGAGAAGTTTCTGTTTGATTGTTCCTCAATAAAAGACTTTGTTATATTTCACAAGCCCTCAAAAGACTGTTTGTGGTGGAAAATTCCTAAGAGCTTCTCTTTGGGCCCCCTGGCTTCCCGCTGGGCAAAGGTTGCACGTCCTGTTTTAAAGACAATTCTTTACAGGCCCAGCGCGCAACAGAACAGGCCACCACACCACTTCAACTACCTTTGAATCTGTTTTCTTTAGTGATTGTGTAGAAGATGTTTCTTGTTATCTTGCTGTAGTAAAGGTAAAGTTTTCTTCTTTCCGTTAAGTCTGGTTGTGTCCGACTGCGGGGTGGTGCTCATCTCATTTCTTAGCTGAAGAGACAGTGTTATCCTTAGACACCTCCAAGGTCATGCTGTCAGCATGACTGCATGGAGTACCATTACCTTCCTGCTGAAGCAGTACCTATTGATCTATTCATATTTGCATGTTTTCAAACTGCTAGGTTGGCAGAAGCTGGGACTAACAGCAGGAGCTCACCCCGATCTCTGAATTCAAACTGCCAACCTTTTGGTCAGCAAGTTCAGCAGCTCAGCAGTTTAATCCACAGCACCACTGGGAACTATCTTGCTATCTAGCTCTAGAATAATGAATACCTATTAAAGTTCCCTTTTCTATATAATCATTAAAGGTACATGACTAATAACCATGTTCCTTTTTCTTAAAAAAAAATACAATTTCCAGCATGGCCTTGAAGGAAATATTGGAATTATAGTCATAAGAGTAGCATTCCCAGGCTCTTCTCTGCTTCAGAATAATGCAGCTTCACTGATGTTGTCAGGCTAAAGGCCTCATTGTAACTCCAAAAGAGGACGGGAAGAACCTTATTAGTGCAAATGCTATTTGTCATGTTCATTAGTTTGCTCTGTGATCTTTTCTACTCCACTCCTGTCCTCAAAAACATGGTAACTACCGATTCACAGGGATCATCTGTGCCCAAAAGTGAGCTGTACCAGTTTCAGTTTTAATAGCGTATATAACCTTTGGTGCAATCTTGATATGTTTGGGGAAAGAGGACTTTTTACTCCAATGACACATCTAAGTAGTAAGAGATTATTACTGCTACCTTTGGTGAGCTTTCAAAAGAGAGAGAAGTTGATCCAAATGCCAACAATTAGACTTTCAATGGCCAGTAGTTAAGGCACCTTTCACACAGCTGTATAAACTGGATTATACGGCAGTGTGGACTCAGATAACCCAGTTCAAAGAAGATATTGTGGACTATCTGCCTTGATATTCTGTGTGGAAGTGCCCTTAGTCTTGCATTTCTCCTTAAAGGGGCGTTGTGCTGGTACGGCTGTACCAGGAGCTCCAACTTCCTTTTCTTTCTTTGAGTATTTGCATGTATTCCAAAGTTCCATGCATTTTGCAATAAGGTGGCTTCCCTTGGTTTGCAGCCACCTGCCTATCATCGTTGGGTTTTTTAGTTCCACCCCTTTCCCCAGGGTTCAGGAAGGAAAGGGAGCCATTTTAGCTCAGTCTTACAGTTGAAAGCTTAGCTACAGGACGTGAATCAGCTCCACCTGTAGAGAAGCTTCGTTTCTTATGAAATTCTGGGGGAAAACAGTTCCAAAGGACTCCAGCTGGAGAATCTACAAAGCCGTGGCTGGTAGGTCTACTCGGACCCAAGAAGCAGTTTGGAGCCAGGAGTAGAGCCCACACCAGCAAAGTTTAGAAAGTAGATTGCCCAAGGAGGGGTTAAAAAGAAAAGAAACAGTTCATGAAGCCAGTTGCCTATCCCTTGTGGACAAGATTAAGAAAGCCACCAGTTGATTCAAAGCCTTGAAGTATTTGTTTGACCTGTTGAAGATCTGAGAAGTATTTGGTTGTTTTGTTGAAGACAAAAGCAATAATAAAGGACTTCGTTAAACTTTTCAAGTTTCTAAAGACTTTGTATAGGAAAATCCTTAGAGCCTCTCAGCTGAGGCACCCCGGCTTCCCAATGGGCACAAAGAGCACATCCTGTTCAAAGGCCAATTGCTATAGGCCCAGAGCGTGATAACACAAGCGTTGCTATTTTCCCCATTTCCAAATACTGTTTCTGGATGCTCAGATATGAATACTATCAGTTAAATGATTACTCATTCCGTCAAAGTTACTCCACTCAGCTTACAACTTGCTTAGACAGCAGGGAGAAAGAAAATACTTGAGTGACATTCATTGGACCATTGTACTATTGATTTGACACGTGCCTTTGTCGAATGCCATGCTGTTATTTTCCCCATGGTTCTGTCTTTACTCAGACTGAGGAAAGCCCAACTTGGGGGTGGGGGAAAATGAAAACAGGATGCTTTTAGAGCCACACTTCCATCCTTCTTTTTTTAAAAAAAGACCATTCTTTTGATGTGATCGGAAAAGCGAGACTGTCACAACTCAGCACGTGCTCCCTTTAGCTTTTTACAAACTTGGCCCCTTCCACACTGCTAAATAAAATACCACTTTATCTACTTTGAACCGGAATATATGGGAGTGTGGACTCAGAGAGAGAAGTTGATTCAGATGCCAACAATTAGACTCTCAGTGACCACTAGTTAAGACCCTTTTCATACAGCTGTATAAAATCCACATTAAACTGGGTTATATGGCAGTGTGGACTCAGATAACTCAGTTCAAAGTAGATATTGTGGAATTTTCTGCCTTGATATTCTGAGTTATATGGCTGTGTGGAAGGGTCCCTAGTGGCAGTTATAGCAGGATGTATACATGCCTTAACTGCCGTACTCCACATAGTATGACTTTATGACTTGTAACTTTATGTGTAATTTACTGTGGAAGAGTGCAGTAAAATTCATTGAAGTATTCTGGGAGTTGTAGTCTAAAAAGTAACTTTTCCATTGCTCTGTGATAAAGGTCAATCCATGTCAGGAGCAAATGGACACTGGTTAATTGGTATAACTATATAGTTAATATGTTAAATGTGGAAATAACAAATTGCAAATGGAATAATATAGATAAAATTGAAAAGGTTACAATAAATAAGAAGATGTGGGAACCAGTTAGGAATTATTTAGAGAATGTGCTAAGATGTGGAGTAGAAAAATTAAGGCTGAGACTGATATTTCAAATGTAACTTCTGTAGTTTGATGTATAAATTGCATATACAAGGAGGGGAGGGTGGGAGTGGGAAAACCAATAAAACAATTTTTTATTGGTGGGTTAAAGCACTGAGCTGCTGAGCTTGTTGATCAAAAGGTCGCAGGTTCAATTCCGGGGAGCGGTGTGAGCTTCCGCTGTCAGCCCTAGCTTCTGCCAACCTAGCAGTTCGAAAACATGCAAATGTGAGTAGATCAATAGGTACCGCTCAGGTGGGAAGGTAACGGCGCTCCATGCAGTTATGCTGGCCACATGACCTTGGAGGTGTCTACGGACAATGCCGGCTCTTTGGCTTAGAAATGGAGATAAGCACCACACCCCAGAGTCAGACATGACTGGACTTAATGTCAGGGGACAACCTACCTTTTAGGCCTGTGTAGAAGGGCCCTGATTGCCTAATCAGAGAAGTACGGATCAATAACCTTTCACTGATTAACTGTGAGCTACCACTTTTTCCCTCTCAATACAGACCCATGGGAAGTACCCTTTGAAGAGATTATGGACTTGCAGTGGGTGGGCAGTGGGGCGCAGGGGGCTGTCTTCCTGGGACGCTTCCATGGGGAGGAGGTGGCTGTCAAGAAGGTGCGAGACCTCAAGGAGACAGACATCAAGCATCTGCGGAAGCTGAAACATCCCAACATCATTACCTTCAAGTGAGTATGGAGCATGGCAGGACTCCTCATAGGATAGCCTTGTGGCCATTTGAATCGTGTGGGATACCCTTGAGCTGCCACCAAGATCCTAAAAAGATAATGTAATACATAACAATAATAACAAAATACCTGCAGGAGCTACAAACCACATACAAGCACACAACCCAGCAACCCTTCTGGGTCCCCCTTTTTTGGAAGCCAGTCAATTGCCAACAGACCCTGCTTAACAAAAAGGTATTTGCTTGGGTTGTTGTAGGTTTTTTTGGGCTATATGTTCTAGAACAGCATTTCTCAACCTGGGGGTCAGGACCCCTGGAGGGGTCATGAGGTGATGTTAGAGGGGTCGCCCAAGGCCATCAGAAATCACAGTATTTTCTGTTGGTCACGGGGGTTCTGTGTGGGAAGTTTGGTCCAATTTGTAGGGTTCAGAACTTTTTGATTGTAGGTGAACTATTAATCCCAGCAACTACAACTCCCAAATTTCAAGGTCCCTCCCACCCCCCACCCCCACCCCCCAAACTCCACTGGTGTTCACATTTGGGCATATTGAGTATCTGTGCCAAGTTTGGTCCAGATCCATCATTGTGTGAGTCTACAGTGCTCTTTGGAAATAGGTGAACTACAACTCCCAAACTCAAGGTCAAACCCACCAAACCTTTCCAGTATTTTCTGTTGGTCACAGGAGTGCTATGTGCCAAGTTTGGTTCAATTCCATCGCTGGTGGAGTACAGAATGCTCTTTGATTCTAGGTTAACTATAAATCCCAGCAACTACAACTCCTAAATGACTAAATTAAGCCCCCCTTCCCCCCCCCCCACGCCAACCACACCAGTATTCAAATTTGGTCATATTGGGTGTTTGGTCCAGTGAATGAAAATACATCTGGCACATCAGATATTTACATTACGATTGACAACGGTTTTGAGGTAGCAACAAAAATAATATTATGGTTGGGGGTCACCACAACATGAGAAAATGAATTAAGGGGTCGCAGCATTAGGAAGGTTGAGAACCAGTGTTCTAGAAGCATTCTCTCCTGACGTTTCGCCTGCATCTATGGTAAGCATCCTCGGAGGTTGTGGGCCTCACATTCTCTGAGGATGCTTGCCATAGATGCAGGTAAAAAATCAGGAGAGAATGCTTCTAGAACATGGCCATATAGCCCGAAAAAACTACAAAACCTAGTGAATTCAGCCATGAAAGCCTTCAACAGGTCTTTACTTGCTTGCCAAAAAGCAGCCCAGACTGCCTAAGGGGAGACTGAAAAGCGGCTTCTTAACAGCAATATGACAGTATTCTGCATTGTTTCACAAGGCACATTACAAGCGATTGCCTTTGGATGGTCATCTTCTGCCATTTCCCCTTACCTTAGCTGACCCACATGGTTCTCCCACCCCATGGATCCCAACCATTGCCTCAATATGCCTTGTGTTTTCTCCCTTTTCTTAGGGGCGTTTGTACCCAGGCTCCTTGCTACTGCATCATCATGGAGTTCTGTGCCCAGGGCCAGCTGTATGAGGTGTTGCGAGCCGGGCGCAAGGTCACACCCTCCCTGTTGGTCGACTGGTCTATGGGCATTGCCGGCGGCATGAATTACCTGCACCTCCATAAGATCATCCACCGTGACCTCAAGTCACCCAAGTAAGAAGGGATGGGGTTCAATTCCCAAGGGATCTCTGTGTCTCTGTGTGTGTGAAGGACGCTGAAGACAGTTGGACAAAGGGAATCAGGAAGTCAAGGATGGAATGGTCATGGGCTAAGTGATTTCCCAACATCTAAAGTTCCCCAAAGTCATAATTATGAGGGCAGTGTATGTGTGTGTGGCATCCATATTCCTCATTAAAGTTACCCAGTTCCTGAGCCTAAAAAAAACACATTTGTAGTCTGCATAAATTATGTAGGTCAAGCAATGCATCGCTTGCCATTCCCTCCCCCATTCCCAATGCTGCTGTGGATGCAGTTTTAGAGCATGATCTTTGCTATTACTGCTACTCGTATTTGCGGTGATTTTCAGAATTTCATTGACAAAGAAAAAAACAACAAAGAAAACGATAGATCTCTGTCTCTAATAAATTTGCAGCTTTTTAGATTGTAGTTCCCAGACAAATGCACAAATAAGAATAATTTATGGGCTGTGCTTCACAAAGGAAGACCCCCAAATTTTAAAATGAGAAATTACCTCCAAAGAGCAATACATTCAATGATAATCTGTTAATCTACTCCTCTACTCTTGAGGGGTTAGGGGCATAGGAACCCTGTAATTTGATCAATATGGATGGGATTAAATTCTCCCATCAGGTAATTTAAAGAATAAAAACAAGAGGAATTTAATTTAGAAGCACAGAGGATTAAATAAAACTATGCATAAACTGTGTAGTGTCAGGATCCAAGGTGGCGGGTCACACTGGGGGTGGGTTGAGTGGTAATTGTATTGTGGGTGGCAGGTTGTCTATGTATGTCTATTATTATTATTATTAGTAGTAGTAGTAGTATGATTTATTTATTTAAAACCTTTGTATCCCGATCTTCTCTACCTCCATAGAGGGACTCAGACCGGCTAACAGCAAGGATTCAATGCTCAAAATACAATCTAAAACATCGTACATCAACAATAAATTAAAATATCTATAGACGAAAATACATAAAAGCCAGTTCGTCAAGATAAAATCATGTCTCACTCAGTCCACATATGTGGTCCATAACTTTGGTCAATTGCCAGTCTCTGCCATATGTTTGTAATGTATTGTGGGTGCATTACCATTTTAAAACCCCTATGCCGGCAGGACTGAAGACTGACAGATTGCAGGTTCGAATTCGGGGAGAGGCGGATGAGCTCCCTCTATCAGCTCCAGCTCCTCATGCAGAGACATGAGAGAAGCCTCCCACAAGGATGATAAAAACATCAAATCATCTGGTTATCCCAGATTATCTGGCAGTGCAGACTCATATAATGCAGTTTGAAGCAGAAAACCTGGGATCAGATCCTAGGATAAGTACCTGTCTGGAAGGTCCTTTAGTTTCAAATGTTTTAAGGGTTGTTTCATTAAATCCTGAAAGCTAATGAGTACTACTTTGTTTTCAATACTGTAATAAACAACAGTAACAAATTACAGGTTTACATGTATGTATATGAAATAGAAATGAGTGGTTTTGCAGTACCCACTTTCACCTTGAGGGTTGCTGAGATACTACACATGCAGCCATCCATTGCACATTGGCAGCCAGTGTGCCACACTCCAATGTGCAATGAGTGTCAACAGAAGTCCCTGATGAACAATGCAAGTGCCTAGTATACATTAGAAATTAGGAATGCCTGGTGCACACTGGAAACAACCAATGCATTCTTGTCAGTGCCTGTATGAGCCTCTTTGCAGTTCACTAACAGAGTTGCATTGCATTTCCACAATATACATATAAATTCTTAAATTGCAATTTTAGACCATAATTTAGAATCACAGCCAATCATTTGCAAAATGTTATGTTGGTTTTAAAAAATAACTTTCATAATTTGATTGGGGATGAATGGTGATACTTCTCCTAGAAGAGAAGGAGGGAGGAAGAGATAAAGGGACATACCAGAAATTGGCCTCTTGACTTTTCAGTGAGAAAGCAACGTAAGAGATGGATGGGCACAGGGCTGCCTAGATTGCCTAGGCTGGCTAGCAACTGAATGCATTTCTGCTTCTTCCTATTGAGACAAGCAACAAAACTGTGGTAAGAGTGGTTTCAGAAAGGAAAGCTTGGCATCCCCGAGATGTTCCACCTAATAAATAATAATAATAATAATAACTTTATTTGTATACCATCCTATATCCCCAAAGGGACTCAGAGCGGTTTCCAACATATAAGGCAAAACATTCAATTGCCGGAAAGAAAAACCACACAGACAAATAATAATCATCATCATCATCATCATCATCATCATCATCATCATCATCATCATTTCAGGTCCTTTCGGAAGGAGGACAGTGGGGGAGGGTTGCCTAATCTCTCTGGGGAGGAAGTTCCAGAGCTGGGGGGCCACCACTGAGAAGGCCCTTTCCTTTGTCACCACCAACTGTGCTTGTGATGGTGGCAGAAGTGAGAGGAGGGCCTCCCCAGCAGATCTTAAGGCCCATGCCAGTTCATAGGGGAAAATGCAGTTACAAAAATAGGCAGGGCCTGAACCATTTAGGGCTTTGTAGGTCATAACCTGCACCTTGAATTGGGACCGGAAACTTATTGGCAGCCAGTGGAGCTGCTTTAATAGGGGTGTTGTGCGCTCCCTATAATTAGCTCCAGTTAGAAGCCAGGCTGCCGACCTTTGTACCAATTGCAATTTCCAGAATGCTTTCTAAGACAACCCCATGTAGAGTGAGTTGCAATAATCCAATCTGGATGTAACCAAGGCATGGACCACCATGGCCAAGTCAGGCTGCTTGAGGTACACAGCTGGCGCACAAGGTTTAACTGTGCAAAAGCTTTCCCAGCCACCATCAACACCTGAGCATCAAGAATCAGTGCTCTTGGTGAGTGTAACCCTGGCAAGCCCAGGATGAGTGTAACCCTGGCAAGCACAGGTTGCCACCCTATACCCTGATCAGCCTCATGACTGACCAGGAGGACCTCTGTCTTGCCTGGATTAAGCTTCATCTTGTTAGCCCTCATCCAGTCCACCACAGCTACCAGACACTGGTCTAGGATCCTGGGAGCTTCCTTGGATTTCGGTGGAAAGGATTAATAGAGCTGAGTGTCATCTGCACAGAGATGGCACCAAACTCCAAAACTCCAGATGACTTCATCCACCCAGCAGTTTCATGTAGATGTTGAAAAGCACGGGGGATAGAATGGAACCTTGCACAGGTCAATGGCCAGAGATCTGAGCAGGTGTTTGCCTTTTCATCAACTTCACCAGAGAAGGTATTTCCAAATGCCTTCATATCCTTTAAGAGGAAATGCATTTAATACATTTGCAGGGGAAACACTGTATTCCATGGCTGAGAAATAATCCATTTTTCCATATTACTTCTTCAGTAGGATATTCTATACTTGTCCCTGCCAGCTTCTGCTCTTCAATTAGAGATGAAGTTGTGCTCCCCCTCCTGACCATTGAGAGCATTGCTTCTCTTTCCAATTGCCTCCCTTGACTTCTCACACTATTGCAATTAACAAAGCATATTACAACCAGTCCCTGACTTACAAATGACTCAGAGTTAAGAACGGGGGTGAGAACACAGGAAGTGAGAGAAATCTACTCACAGGAAAGGAAATTAAGGGTTACCACGGGAAAAAATATTTCCACTGAAGCTTTATTACACATACAAGTTCAGCTTAATTGTAGAATCATAGAGTTGGAAGAGACCATCATGGGCCATCCAGTCCAACCCCCTGCCAAGAAGCAGGAATATTGCATTCAAAGCACCCCGGCCAGATGGCCATCCAGCCTCCAAAGAAGGAGCCTCCACCACACTCCGAGGCAGAGAGTTCCACTGCTGAACAGCTCTCACAGTCAGGAAGTTCTTCCTCATGTTCATATGGAATCTCCTTTCTTGTAGTTTGAAGCCATTGTTCCGTGTCCTAGTCTGAAGCCATTGTTCCATGAAGAACAAACCTATGCAACCTATCTTGTTTATAATGTATTCCATTTCACATTTCTCATCATTTCTTTCCTTTCCACAGCATGCTGATTACTTATGATGATGTGGTGAAGATCTCTGACTTCGGTACCTCCAAAGAGCTCAGTGACAAGAGCACCAAGATGTCCTTTGCCGGCACAGTGGCCTGGATGGCGCCAGAAGTCATTAGGAATGAACCTGTTTCTGAGAAGGTTGACATCTGGTGAGCTGGGAAGGTGGAGGTACAGGGAGACCAAGCCAAGGGAGATCAGCAGATATAGCACAGGGGCAAGGGATGAGCTTGCCCCTGTACTATATGTGCACAATCCTGGGAGCTGCAACTCCAATCAACCTCACCTTTCTGTTCTAAGCAATCACATCCTAGAAAGTATCAATCTCCAAAAAATATTTGGAGTCCAAGATTTTTTCCAGTTCATGATTTGTTATGGTTTTTCAACACCCAAATACATGTCTTGACTTTTTATAATACTCTTTCTATCCCTACTCCATATGCACACACACACACACACACACACACACACAGCGACCAACATTGTGCCGTTCAGATATGTTCGATTACAGCTCCCATCCCCCCACCCCCACATTCCTAATGTGATGTCAGACTGTTTATCAGAGGTAGCGGACTATGATTCCTATGGCAAAGGTACATATTTAAGGAGTGTCTTTGTTGAACTGAACAGCCTTGCCCAATCTGGTATCCGCCAGATGTGCCAGACTATGCCTGCCATCATCATGCTGAGAAAAAAGGCAAGACAAGTGTATATGGAAGATTGAAACTAAACCACAATTGAAGAAAATGGGAAATATCTGGAAAAGAATACAGAAGGGGCAGTAGGATCAAGGTGGTTGTCCATGTCCAACTTCTCCCCCTTCTCCTGGCTTGATTTTCATTCCTTCTTTCTTCATATCAGGTCCTTTGGCGTTGTTCTCTGGGAGTTGCTAACAGGAGAGATCCCTTACAAGGATGTAGATTCCTCAGCCATAATCTGGGGTGTGGGTAGTAACAGCCTCCACCTGCCTGTACCAACCAGCTGCCCTGATGGTTTCAAGATCTTGCTAAGACAGTGCTGGTAAGTCTAGAGCTACATTACTTTTCTCTGGACACCTTGTGAGAACCTCTCTGAAGGTGGTTACACAAAGACTAGGTGGCCATCTATTGGGAGTGGGGAGCTTTGATTGTGTGTCTTTTTTCATGGCAGGGAATTGGACTGGGTGGTCCTTGTGGTGTCTTCAAACTCCATGATTCTCTGATTCTAACATAGAGTGGATGTGATCTTCCCAGCCTGCTCACTGGTTGAGCCAAATATTTTCTCAGATCATAAGCAAGCTGCCAAAAGACTCTTGCATGTAGTGATACTCTAGAGCAGTGTTTTTCAAACTCCAGATATTCTGGACTTCAGCTCCCACAGTACCTAAAAGCTGGTAAACTGGCTGGGATATCTGGGAAATCAAGTCCAAAACCTCTGAAAAACAGTGCTCAGGAGATAAAATGTTTATGGCTGGGATCAAACTGAATAATTAGGGGAAATTGGATCCAAGGTTGGATCTAGACCTAGTCAGAACAAAACGACTTCCTTGTGTGATTGCAGTTCCTCTTTAGGAAAACCTCCCTCTGAGTGAAAGGTGTGTTGTGTTCACGATACTCTCCCTTCCCCACATGTTGAACATAGAGGAATTTTGCATTGGCCACCTCTGAAGCTGAGGGAATGTAATTTGTTCAAGATCAAAGAAAAAGAAGAAGAAGAAGAAGAAGAAGAAGAGGAGGAGGAGGAGGAGGAGGAGGAGGAGGAGGAGGAGGAAGAAGTTTGTTTTTCTACCCTGCCTCCATCTCCCCGAAAGGACTCGGGGCAGCTTACGTGGGGCCCAAGCCCAGGCAGAATACAATTAAAATAAAGCAATAACAATTAAAACAGCACAAAACAGTCTAAAACAACATAACAAAAATAGCTAGCAACAACAATAACAGTAGATTAATTTTGGAGTGGGGGGGGGGGACCAAATAATAGAGTTTTGTGGCTGAGCAGATATTAAAACACTGGTCTCCCCGGCTCCTAGTCCAATACTCAAATCACTGCACCACATTGGGATTTCCAATGCCATGACTCATTTAAAATTTGTGTCCTATTGAAAGCTGGCATGGTTTGAATGTTGAACTGGGAAATCAGGGTTTGAATTCCTACTCAGTCATAGAAACCCATTGGGCAATTTAGGGCAAATTCTGCTCTCTCAGGTTCAGAGAGAGGTAAAAACAAATCCTTTCTGAACAAATCTTATCCGGAAAACCCTGTGATAGGTTCACCTTGCAGTTGCCAAAAGTTGGGAATAACTTCAAAGCACACCGTAACAAACAGATTGGATACATTCTAACTGTTATTAATGCCTGGGCCTAACTTAGTGTTTGTTTGCAAATGTTTGTTAGTGTTAATAGTTTTCAAAGTGGTTAAAAAGGCAAAGGTTTCCTTTTGACATTAAGTCTAGTCATGTCCGACACTGGGGGATGTTGCTCATCTCCATTTCTAAGCCAGCATTGTCCGTAGATGCCTCCAAGGTCATGTGGCCAGCATGACTGCATGAAGCACTGTTACCTTCCTGCTGGAGCAGTACCTATTGATCTACTCACATTTGCATGTTTTCAAACTACTAGGTTGGCAGAAGCTGGGGCTAACAGTGGGAGCTCACCCCACTCCCTGGATTTGAACTGCTGACATTTCAGTCAGCAAGTTCAGTGGTTTAACCTGCTGCACCACCAGAGAGCCCATCAAAGTGGCTAAGTGCCAGCAAATAAATCTTGAGACACTTTGATGACAAACCTATTATTATGCCTGAAGCTATTAAGTTAGTTCACACTTTCTAGACTTTGTACATTTCAATTCCCTCTCACCTCATTATTGACTATTCTAAACACAACATCTTTCTGTGTGTAGCTCTTTAGACAGAATGCATTTGTTAGACCACAACACATTTTGTTCTATTTGCCATTGTGCCATCCCACTTGTATGAAAGGCTTCCACACAAGTGCTACTAGAGAAGGATATAGCTCTCCATGCAAAGGGAATGATGCTACATGTATATCTGGTGAGAGGAAAGAAGGGATTCGCTCCAGAAATCAGAGTATTTTCATCTCCATTTAAGATATAAATATATCCCACTGCTTGTCTGTGTCATGCAAAAGTGCATGTTTCACTTGTAGGACAAGAGTTCAGAGAAGACCACAACCTTTGCCTCTTTTCCATTAGTTACAGCAAAACTGCGCGACAAAAATGGCTAAATGGAATGGAAAGAAACAATAGCTGAAATGTGTGGCATCAAATACATCGATACATTTGCACCAGTATTCAGTTAATAATGGTTTCCTCCATACACCTGAAAATGCCATCTATTTTGTTCTGCGGCAGGCCCTCCACTTTCACAGAGATTAGGAATGCAAGACTCCCATGAAAATGAAAAACTGTAAATTAAAAAAAACACACACTTTTTACCTAAGAGAACATGTCTCAAGGGGCCCTTCCAGACAGGCCCTATATCCCAGGATCTGATCCCAGGTTTTCAACATTAAACTGGATTATGTGAGTCTCTACTGTCAGATAATCTGGGATAAACAGAAAACCTGGAATCAGATCCTGTGATATAGGACCTGCCTGGAAGAGCCTTAGGAGTCTCTAGATTCTCCAGAGTGTCTCTATGGTCAACATCCACCTCAAGTTGGAACTCTGGTGAAAGTTGGCCCTAGAATCGAATTGACAGATGCAGAAAATCCTAGAAAGAACATATTAATTAACCTATGTATAATCAAATCCACAAAAATTAAACCTGCAGATATGGTGGGCCAGCTATGCTTTCTGGCTCTAAATGGTCAGCTGGAGGCCTGTTCCAAATGCATTACATTCACCCCCAAATCTTCTGGTTTTTTTCCTTCATCAGGAATAGCAAACCTCGGAACCGTCCGTCTTTCCGCCAGATCCTGCTGCACCTTGACATTGCATCAGCTGATGTTCTCTCTACGCCACAGGAGACCTACTTCAAATCCCAGGTGGGCTGCCTTGAAATCTCCCTTGACAAACAAATGCCATGCTTGGAATTCACCTTCAAGGCTGTTATCCATTTTTCTAAGAATCTAGTATATTACATCCAATATGATAAGCCACACTAGATAAAATGTCTGGGACCTGAAATCAAATACATCTGGAAGGCTAAATATTTTCCTGCACCGTCCTTTGTCCAAATCTCTAACCTAATATCTGCCGTAGGTTTTGGACTGCATCTCCAATCAGCACTAGCTAGCAATGGTCATTGATGGTGGGAGGTACCAGTCCAAGAAATCTGAACTGCAATAGCTGGCAGAAGACCACTGTACTGTACTGGCTCTCACATTTTAATATGTCTGTATATGTACATATTTGCAGGTTGAGTATTTCTCATCCAAAATACTTAAGACCAGGAGTTATTTGGATTTAAGATTTTTTTGATTTTGAATATGTTCATAATGAGCTACCTTTGGTCCCTTCTACACTGCATATACAATCCAGATTAGCTGTTTTAACTGGATTATATGGCAGTGTAGACTCAGATAATCCAGTTCAAAAGAGATAAAGTGGATCATTTGCTTTAATAATCTGGATTATGTGGCAGTATAGAAGCAGACTTTGAGATGGGCCCCAAATCTAAATCAAAAATTCATGTATGTTCCATATATATCTGATGGTAATTTTATACATTCTATTTTTAATAATTTTGTGCATTTAGCAACGTTTGGATACATTAAACTATCAGAAAGCAAAGGTGTCCTACCTCAGGGCCCTTCCACACAGTCATATAACCCAAGGTCCTTCCACACAGCCCTATATCCCAGAATATCAAGGCAGGAAATCCCACAATATCTGCTTTGAACTAGGTTATCTGAGTCCACACTCAGATAATGTGGGATTTTCTGTCTTGATGTTCTGGGATATAGGGCTGTGTGGAAGGCCCCCCAGAATATCAAGGCAGGAAATCCCACAATATCTGCTTAACTGGGTCCATACTGCCATATATTCCAGTTCAGAGCAGATATTGTGGGATTTTTGTGCCTTGATATTCTGGGTTATATGGCTGTGTGGAAGGGGCCTTTGTCACCTTTTTGGACAATATCATGTTTTGGAACATTTCCAAACTTTCAGTTAAGGAAAGTTCTAAACATAGGGAAAAAAAGATGTGATTTACATTTTAGCTTTTAGGAAACAGTTATGTCAAACAACAACATTTTAGAGCTGCCACCTGAAGGAATATTTTTAGATTGCAATCCTGAACTCACTCATTAGTTTGTAATCCCACTGAACTCAATGGGACTTACTTTTCAATAAAAACACTTAGGACTACAGAGTTAAAAGGCATCCCTACTTCTAGTATTTTTCCCCCAGAGAAATCAGCTTCACTGTTTTGCTGTTTCCTACATTCCGATTGCCTGCTGGAAGAGCCCGGAGTAATCTAGGTTAGACAGATGATCTACTGATGGGTAGTCCTGCTTCGAGGCAGGATTTGGACTCATTAGCCATTTTGTGTTTGGCATCTCTGGTATTGATTTTGTTCAGAGGCCAAAACTGCTTGGTCAGAATTCCTCCCTCCACAGATTCCACTTCTTGACGTTCCAAACATGCCATTAATTTGGCATCCTGGCTTTCTGAGGGCAGGATGTTTCTTGATTTCTTGGTTTGTTTGTGTCTCCCCTTAATGTTAATGTGTAAACCCTCACCCTTTCCCCTGTACATCTTAGATTTTTCTTCTGATATTTCTTTTAACTGGGTCGCTGTGAGTTTTCCGGTCTGTATGAACATGTTCCATAAGCATTTTTTTTCCTGACATTTTGCCTGCCTGTATGGTAGGCATCCTCAGAGGTTGTGAGGTATGTGAAATGCAAGGAGAAAATGCTTATGGAACATGGCCATACAGTCTGGAAAACTCACAGCAACCCAGGGATTCTGGCCATGAAAGCCTTCAGCAACACATTTCTTTAACTGTTACTGAAAAGACCTGCTCACTTCAATGGGCTCTGCATGTGGATGCTCACAGAAGAATATACCCTTAACCCTTGCACTGATTTCACTCCCTACACATGGGAAGAGATTCTGAATCAAGGATTGTAGCATTAAAGTTTGACAGGCAGAATTATACTACAGCCACTCTCACTTTTTCCAGGTATGCATCTACACTGAAGAATTAATGCAGTTTGATACCACTTTAATAGGCATGGCTCAATGCTATTGAATCCTGGGTGTTGTAGTTGTTTTATTATTTACTGTATTTGTATACCGCCTTTCTCAGCCCAGCAGGCGACTCAAGGCAGGTTACAGGGCAAAATTCAACGCCCACAATACTTTAGTGAGGCACCATCACTCTTTGGCAGAGAAGACTAAAAATGTTGTCAAACTACAACTCTGATTATTCCATAACACCGAGCCACAGCAGTTAATGTGATTTCAAACTTCACTCATTCTACAATGTAGATACACCCCACGTCCAGGGGCGGCTCAACCCATTACGCAAAGTAAGCATTTGCAGTATAGTTGATTTTGCCCAGGGGTGCTCTTGAGGCGCTCTTGGGGAAAAATAGACCTTGACATATGCGAGTTGTTACTGGGATGTATAGTTCACCTATAATCAAAGAGCATTCTGAACTCTACCAATGATGGAATTGAACCAAATATGGCACACAGAACTCCCACGATGAACAGAAAATATATATCAGTGATTGGTTGGGGGGGTGCGGGGCAAAATACTGTTTGCTTACCGTTGAAAATTACCTAGGGCCGCCTCTACCCACGTCTCACTGTTTGCCTTCTCCAGACCCAACTTGATGCACCTTCACTGGCTGATGGAAATTGGGGGAATCAATAGTCCAATGTATCTGATGAGATCTGTCAGAATTTCCTGAGGTTTTGGCAGATGATGTCATTGTTCTTCATCTGGCTAAGGAAAGAAGGCCTAGGGACATTCAATCACGTATGGTTTCTTTGCACTTGCAGATGTCCTTTTTTGAGAACTGCAAGGTATTGCTTCTTTCCCTCTGCAACACCCAAAGCTGCCCTCCTAACTGACTGCAAAGCCCCTGAAGCCATCCTGCACAACCATTCTGTGCTTCGCTGCAAGCAGTCAGGCTTGGAGAAGCATCTGTCCTCACCCCCCTGAGCCAGATACAAAATGACGACATCAGCATTGAGATCTGCCAAGTCCTCCAAGGGTCTCAGTGCTGCTGTGCTCATTTTGCATCTGGCTTTGAAGACGTAGCCAGGCACTCCTCTGAGCCCACTTGCCTGTTTGAAATGAAGCATAAAACAGCCACATGGAGTGGCTTCAGGGGGGTTTCAGTAAGTCTGACAGTCCATGGCTCAACGTTGCATAAATCACCATTTGAATATTTACACTAAGATGGTGGGTATAGGATTGAAATTATAACCAGGTGCTTTTCCAATCCATTTCAGCCTCCCAATGGATGGGGGCGGAGGGAGGGGGCAGCTAAATGATGGGTCTCATGGGAAGAGAAAAGCTTTGGTTGTTGTTATGGAGAGAGGAAGAGAACAAAAGAAGATGGGTACAAGCATTAAATTGACTGAAGCTTGGATCTGTCACTAGCAGGATGCCAGCTCTATTTGCCTTTGAGCCATTTCTGACTTATTGCAACTGAGGTATCCTATTATGGGACTTCCTGGGTTGAGAGTAGGTTTCCATAACTGAGCATGGAATCAACAGAAAGCAATGCAAGGCAGAGGAAAACACGCACACCCCGGTCATAATCATAATCAAATGCTCAAAACCAGGCATCCTCAAACTGCGGTCCTCCAATTGTTTGGGCCTTCAACCGCTTGAATTCCTGACAATTGAACAAGATCATTAGGGCTTCTGGGAGTCGGAGGCCCAAACAGCTGGAGGGCTGCAGTTTCCGGATGCCTGCTCAAACCACTACAACACACTGTAGTAACAGCTTAAAACTTAAGTGCTTCAACTTGCTGCCACCTTCAGGCACAGCATGGCAAAATTGTCATTGTCCAAGGTAGACTTATTCATTTCCTTTCTTCCTCCATCCTTCTTAGAGTTTTTTTCCCTTGTTCTGGAATGTTTGCATAACAACTCTTATTCTAAAAGTTTAATCCACTGACCAATGCCAGATCAGGATAAGATTATCCATAATAGAGCATTGATTTTGGTATTTTACAGAGACAGACCTAAATCAGAAGAGACCCTGTTTGACTGCCGCTTCCAGTAGCATTTTTCACTATTGGCTAGGATATATGGCAGTTGCGATGCCAACAATATTCAAAGGGTCACATGATTCCCAGGTGTATTCTAAATTATCGAGTTGCGGGTTTCAACTAGAGTTAGATGCATTGATGTTGAATGGGAGGTCAACACCTAGAAATATCCTATTGGATTTAATAGGTTGACTCTAGTTGGAACTAGCAGTTCGATTCAGACCATAATCATCTGCACTCAGTTTCTGACTTAGGGCTGGCCCAAAACATTTTGCTGCCTAAAGCGGATCAGCAAAGTCACAAATATCCCCACCTGCACACATCAAGATGCATAGAACACAATGTCAGTCAGGATGGCTTCAGAGGCAAAGCAATCTTACTGGTGGTTACCTCATTCTATTTAATGCTCTAATTCCATCTGTTTTCCCATTTATTTCCATACTTTCCCTTTTTTTTCGTGTCAGGAGCGACTTTGAGAAACTTCCAAGTTGTTTCTGGTGTGAGAGAATTGGCCATCTGCAAGGACATTGCCCAGGGGACTCCTGGATGTTTTGATATTTTATCATCCTTGCGGGAGGCATCTCTCATTATGTATGTGATATTTGAAGGTGTTGGTGGTACACATTTCAGCTATTGTTTCTTTCTACTCCATTTAGCCATTTTTGCCCTGCAGTTTTGCAGTAATTAATGGAAAAGAGACAATGGTTGTGGTCATTTCTGAATTCTTGTGCTACAAGATTGTGTGTTTTTTTTTCGTGTCAGGAGTGACTTGAGAAATTGCAAGTTGCTTTTGGTGTGAGAGAATTGGTTGTCTGCAGGGATGTTGCCCAGGGGATACCCAGATGTTTAGATGTTTTACCATCCTTGTGGGAGGCTTTGTTTATGTTGCCGCATGAGTAGCTGGAGCTGACAAAGGGAGTTCATCTGTGCTCTCCCTGGATTTGAACCTCCAACCTGTCATCTTCAGTCGTGCCAGCACAAGGGTTTAACCCACTGCGCCACCGGGGGCTCCCACTTTTCCATTGACTTAATTCCTCTCCCAGTTTCATTTTAGAAGAGTTTTTTTGCAAGTGAAAGAAAATGGGAATCTGTCAGACGTTGCTGGGGTTGTTCTCAGCTGGAACCTGGGGATTATTTTCTAAGCAATACATTGTTAAATTCAGTTCAGTGTATCCAACTTTCCTCATAATATGCCATCAGAAGGTCAACGTGTCTTATTCTCTGTGGGTTTTTATTACATTGATTCAGTATCCAGGGAGAAAGCTCATGGGTGTCTCTTCTGTCTCATAGGCCGAATGGCGGGAGGAAGTAAAACTACATTTTGAAAAAATTAAATCAGAGGGAACATGTCTACACCGCTTGGAGGAGGAGTTGATCCACCGACGGCGAGAAGAACTCAGGTAAAGTGGGTGTGGATGTGAATACATTGATAACTCTGTGCCTCTCTGATGTAAGTGAGGAACTCTTCTCTATCTTCTCTTAAAATATCAGTACTCATTTTTCCTCTAAATGAAAGAAGTTTCTTGCTCTTATGAGCATCTGTATATGTGAAGAAGGTGGACTACAAGTTAATAACAACAACATCAATCAAAGTTACAAATGCAGAACCTAGAGTTACACATTCACAACTGCTTTGTATTTAGAATTTATGTGGCTCCAATAGTGTGGAGAATACATAGGCATTGTAAAAATCTTTCAGTCCTGAATATTGTTCACCTTGATTGAAGCTGTGGTTGAAGTTGTCGCAGCTGGATATTGTTTTTTCACACATGATTGATATACTATAGATTGCTTSGCAGATAGATAGATAAAATAGATAGATAGATAGATAGATAGATAGATAGATAGATASATAGATAGATAGATAGATAGATAGATAGATAGATAGATAGATACTTTTAGGTGTTTTCTTCATTTAGGGCAGTACTTCTCAACCTTTGGGTCCCCAGGTGTTCTGGCCTACAACTCCCAGAAATCCCAACCAGTTTACCAGCTGTTGGGATTTCTGGGAGTTGAAAGCCAAAACATCTGGGGACCCACAGGTTGAAACCACTGATTTAGAGGTTTTTTAAAGTGTGAATTTATGCATTTAAAGCCCATCCATTTTTGTAGTTCTTGGAAGCTTTCTAAAGAAACRTGTGTRTGTRTGTGTGTGTGYGTGTGTGTGTGTGTGTGTGTGTGTATGCACATAGAATCATAGAGTTGGAAGAGACCACATGGGGCATCTAGTCCAATCCCCTGCCATGCAGGAAAAATGCAATCAAAGTACCCCTGACAGATGGTCATCCAGCTTCTGTTCCTTCAAGTCACCTGTAGACTTATGATGACTCCCGTCATTCCAAATGTGTTTCTTAGAGAAGGAATAAGAGATAGTGGGTTGTTGTAGGTTTTTTTGGGCTTTATGGCCATGTTCTAGAAGCATTTTCTCCTGACGTTTCACCTGCATCTATGGCAAGCATCCTCAGAGTTAGTGAGGTCTGTAGGAACTAGGAAAATGGGTTTATATATCTGTGGAATGACCAGGGTGGGACAAAGAACTCCTGTCTGTCGGAGCTAGGTGTGAATGTTTCAACTGACCACCTTGATTAGCATTTGATGGCCTAACAGTGCCATCTTGGGGCAATCTTTTGTTGAGAGGTGATTAGAGGTCCCTGATTGTTTCCTCTCTGTTGTTTTGCTGTTGTAATTTTAGAGTTTTTTTAAATACCGGTAGCCAGATTTTGTTCATTTTCATGGTTTCCTCCTTTCTGTTGAAATTGTCCACATGCTTGTGGATTTCAGTGGCTTCTCTGTGTAGTCTGACATGGTGGTTGTTAGAGTGGTCCAGCATTTCTGTGTTCTCAAATAATATGCTATGCCCAGGTTGGTTCATCAGGTGCTCTGTACTATTGGTAGTATTGGCAGTTACTTCCTCTGAAATATATCTTTCATCAACTGGTATCCCTTGACAGTCTCCCATCCAAATATTAACCAGGAATGACCCTTCTTAGCTTCCATGATGAGATCTGGTGCCTTTGGCATATTCAGGCCTTCTCAGCTGCAAAAAAAATCCCAAAAAACACCAGACTTGGCAGTTGCATACTGAACTACTGAGATCAAATACTGGCCCAACCTCATTGAGTCACTACAGAGGACTAAGAGCTGAAGAGTCCTTGCCCAGAGCCACACATTATGAGTGCAGTGTGTCAGCAAACCTTTCTGCTCAGGCATAAACACAGTTCTTTACCAGGAAAAGACCAATTGCATCCTTCTTCCTCTCTCCATCTACAGGCACGCTTTGGACATCCGGGAGCACTACGAGAGAAAGCTGGAGCGGGCCAACAATCTTTATATGGAGCTCAATTCCCTGATGTTACAGCTGGAGCTCAAGGAAAAGGAGCTGCTCCGGTGAGGCATTATGGGATGGAGTGCTACATTTTTGCTAGTATGGCTACACAGGGAATAAGGATTTCCATTGCGTGAGGGCATAATGGTCAACGGTGGTTTCTCTGACTGCCAGATCACTCTGATGTGAGGCAGGACACTGACAAAATGATCTCTAGCCTTTATTATTGAGTTTGCCAAAGTAAAAAACTGGAAAGCAATTTTGTACCTTTAATGGTTGTGGAGAAGAGGGGATATTAGCAGGCAACTAATGCCCTTCTACAAACACCGTTCATGTCCCTAGCATATTTCCAATTTTAATGTTACATTCCCCCCCCTCTGTTTTTAATTATGTGTTGTTTTATTGATAATGTTGTTTATCTTATTGTCTATGTTTTTTAACTTCTTGTATTGTTGTTTTATTGCTGTATTGTTGTGTTTGGGCGTGGCCTCATGTAAGCCGCACCGAGTCCCTTGGGAAAATGGTAGCAGGGTATAAATAAAGTTAATAAAATAAAATAAATAATAAATAAACTAGGTAGCAAGCAAAAGCTACTGGAATTCCCAGTCCCTCACATTAAGTCTCTCCAGTTTTCCCTCTGGCAAGTCAGGCCCCATCTACAGTGCCATATAATCCAGTTTCTAAATCCAGATTTTGAACTGGATTATATGTCAGTGTAGACTCACATAATCCAATTCAAACCAGATAATCTGGATTTAGAAACTGGATGATATGGCAGTGTAGATCCAGCCTCAGGTTTCTAGTGACTGTGTAAAGCAGGGGTCCTCAAACTAAGGCCTGGGGGCCAGATGCGGCCCTCCAAGGTCATTTACCTGGCCCTCACTCAGGGTCAACCTAAGTCTGAAACGACTTTGTCGTCGTGTCAGGAGCGACTTGAGAAACTGCAAGTCGCAAAAGCAGGCCCACACTTTCCATTGAAATACTAATAAGTTTATATTTGAGGACTCCTGGTCTAAAGCAATGGTTCTCAACCTGTGGGTCCCCAGGTGTTTGGTCTACAACTCCCAGAAATCCCAACCAGTTTACCAGCTGTTAGGATTTCTGGGACTTGAAGGCCAAAACATCTGGGGAACCACAGATTGAGAACCACTGGTCTAAAGCATACCATGGACACGAGGGTCCTTCTGTATATCTATTTTGTCTTTCTTCCCAAAATGCTGCTGTTGGGTTTTTCTAACTCTTCAATGTTAATGTCTGTTCAATTATGTGATTTACCTCTCCCAGGCGGGAGCAAGCTCTGGAGAAGAAGTATCCAGGGCTCTTTAAGCACCATCCATCCCGGAGCCTCCTCCATGGCAACACAGTGGAGAAGCTGATCAAGAAGAGGAACGTGCCTCAGAAACTCTCTCCACACAGCAAGAGGTGAGAAGTGGCAGAGAAAGGATGATGGAGAAGGGAAAAAAGGAGGGAGTCTTCATATAGGGAGAGGAAATATTCGGCCCAACAGATGTTTTGGACTAAAACTCTAATAGTCTCTTGCCATTGGTCATGTTGACTGAGGCTTCGGGGGACTCCAGTCCAAAACATTAGGAAGAGCAGAGGTTCTCCATCCATCTTCTGGGATTCAGCAAGCAGACTGGTTGTGCCTATGGGAAAAAAGAAATAAGTGCGTGAGCTAGTTCATAACATATGTGGCATGATTTCACAGGAATTAACTTACAAGAGAAAGCACTGGGTGCAGAATTCAGCTTTTGGAACACCCTCTCAAAGGAAATTTAAGCAGCTCTCTCCCTTTCTTCTTTTAAGAACCAATTAAAAACTTCCCTGTTTAGACAGGCCTTTATTGAAGTAAATTAATCTGGAGTGACAGAAAACACTATACAATATGGACTTCAGCAAAGTGCAATATATCTCGACATGATGCCACATGAATCTGAATGTACATTGTAGTTGTTCCTCAGATTTGCTTATTTTATGACATTTATATTTATTGTTGATGTATTTTGATTTTTGTTTATATGATTTTAATATATTTTAAGCCGCTTTGGGTCCCTTGAGGGATATAAAAATTATTATTATTATTATTATTATTATTATTATTATTATTTATTTTATTTTATTTTCAAGTAATATTTTTCTTCTTATTTTGGAAGTGGATTGGCAGTACCTGGTGAAATCTCCAGAAAGCTGCTTAAGCCCAACCTCAGTTTCTAACAGGATGATAAACTAGTCGTGCTAGGGCACTGCTTATTAAACTATGGGCACCGATCCCCAAATGGGTCCCCTTAGGTCAATGGTGTGGTCATGAAAAAAATTAATACTGTGGTACTTACTTTGCAAGTAGTTGTTATACTCCAGAAACTTTGTTTTTGTGGCTGCCACAAGCTACGTTGAATTGGCTGAGACTCTATGAGATAATCATTGAAAAACTATAGCAAAATGTGCTGCATGATGTCCCGCAATAAAATTTTTGCAGTTTAATAAACTTTTTCCATGTTTTAATGATAGAGCCAATTAGGAAATGCATTTATAACCCAGGAACAGAAATCATGTTACATAGTGCAATCATCCCTGTCTCGTCAGTGATCATCATCACAACAACTTCGGCAGAGATAGTTGTTCCAACGCCTTTCCTTCTTTTCTTCAGGCCTGACATTCTGAAGACAGAGGTGATCATGGACCCAACTCTTCCCCAGCTTGCCATCCCCGTGTGCCAGAAAGGCCCTCCCTCCCCGGGGCGCAGTCGCCGCGCTAAGTCACGCTACCGCAAGGTCAGCTCCCGGGGCAGTTGTGGGGAGCTGGCCGAACCTGCGGGAGCCAAGCGCCTGGAGCCTTGTGCCGCGCTGCGAGGCCTTCAGCACGACCTCCTCCTCCGCAAGATGTCGTCTTCCAGCCCTGACCTCATCTCCACGACTCTGGGGGCCGAGAGCCGCAAAGGGGAAACCGGGCCTGAATCCCCGCCGACGGAGCAGCCCCGCAGTGAGACCCCCAGTGAAGATACTGCCTCAGTGCCGTGCTCCAGCAGCCCCGAGTCTCCCTCTTCGCGACAGGGTGCTGTCGGGCCATCAGGGAAGGCAAGGCTACAGCCGGGAGAGGAGGCCGAGCGGGACCAGGGCCGAGGCAGTCGATCCGGGGCCGCCTCTCAATCCCAGCACCTCACGCCAGCAGCTCTCTTGTATCGGGCAGCTGTCACTCGGAGCCAGGTAGGGCAGGGAACAGAGTTTAACTGATTTCTTCTTGTACGGACTTACTATTCCTGATATTCCCTCTCCAGAATGGCCAGGAAATATGGTAACTGGTGGGTTGTGGGATATACAGTCCCACAAGTGAGTTTTCATGCAGGTTTTATTCTTTGTTTCTTTTTATTATTATGTGAAAAAGCCTTGAAAATATACGGACAGTAGCCAGTGTAGTTGCTGTGAGTTTTCCGGGCTGTATGGCCATGTTCCAGAAGCATTCCTGATGTTTCACCCACATCTGTGGCAGGCATCCTCAGAGGTTATGAGGTCTGTTGGAAACTAGGCAAGTGGGGTTTATATATCTGAAAAATGTCCAGAATGGGAGAAAGAACTCTTGTCTGTTGGAGGCAAGTGTGAATGTTGCAATTGGCCACCTTGATTAGCATTTAATGGCCTTATAGCTTCAGGACAGTAAATAAAGAGCAACACTAAAAAAAACCAGGAGAATTCCAAACAAGAATCAATCAGGGACAGCTAACACCTCCCAACAAAGGATTCTCCCAGACAGCAACCAGCCATGCTTTGAAGCTGCAAGGCCATTAAATGCTAATCAAGGTGGACAATTGCAGCATTCACACTTGCCTCAAGCAGACAAGAGTTTTTTCTCCCACCCTGGACATTCCACAAATATATAAACCTCACTTGCCTAGTTTCCAACAGACCTCACAACCTGAGGGTGCCTGCCACAGATGTGGGTGAATCATCAGGAGAGAATGCTTCTGGAACATGGCCGTACAGCCAGGAAAACTCACAGCAACCCAGTGATTCTGGCTATGAAAGCCTTCGACAACACATAGAAGTAGCCAATGTAGTTTTAGAGTTCTTGGGTGGAACCAGACATCATTGCCTGTGGATGCAGGGGTTTGAAAGGAAGGGTCTTCTGTTCTCTTGGAAGCTCCTCCACCTCCTTCCTCCCCTACAAGAACCAATAAATTCATAACATTTGCAATCAGAGACATGGACTGTTTACAGTGGGCCCTTGATATCCACAATTAAAACAATAGAGTCAAAATGTCATTAAAATGATAGTGGATGGATGGATGGATGGATGGATGGATGGATGGATGGATGGATGGATGGATGGATGGGTAGGTAGGTAGGTAAGTAGATAGATAGATAGATAGATAGATAGATAGATAGATAGATAGATAGATAGATAGATGATAGATAGATCAAGGAGGGAGGGATCAACCAACACCATACAGCACCTACTGGCCTGTTCTTAACTTCCTTTCTTAGGCTGCCTGAAAAGAATGTCTTATCCTACAAGCTATTCTGACTATAGTAAGATGGTGTCCCTTATATATAATGGCACAATCAAAATTTGCGTTTTTGGAATTATATATCATTATATTCAAGCTGTAGATAGTTGAATCTGTGAATACAGAATCCATGGATATTTCATTCATCCCTGTCATGATTAGTTTCGGGATTGGTGTAAAGGAGGGTTTTGCTTCTTTGTTTGCTTGCTAAACTTGTTATATTTCTTGGCTATATTTCCTCTGTTTAAGTTTTCAAAGTAGTGTCAAAATAAGAATATTGAAAAAACAAAATTCAACAACAAATAAGGTGAGAACGCCATAGATCTGAATGTGAACATAGCAGCAACCGCACTCTCTAAAAGTACTTAGCCTGGAAAGATGAGTTAGGCGACCTCTCATAGTCTGAGGATGATGGTCCTCCAAATATAGTATGCTAGCGTTGGGGCCATAGGTGACTGTGGAGCCCTATTCTTGACATGCATCTTCTCCCACAGTGAGGGTATCAATTTCCAGGTGGAAGGCGGTCCCGGTCGGGGTTGGCTTGACGAGCATTCCTCTTGAAACGTTTCTCTCTTTTGCCCTCCATTCATGCCTATGCAAATTCTGCAGCACTGCTGGTCACAGCTGACCTCCAACTGGAGCGCTCAAGGGCCAGGGCTTCCCAGTTCTCCATGTCTATGCCAGTTTTTAAGGTTGGCTTTGATCCCATCTTTGAATCTCTTTTCCTGTCCACCAACATTCCATTTTCCAGTCTTGAGTTCGGAGTAGAGCAACTGCTTTGGGAGACGGTGGTCGGGCATCCGGACAACATGGCTGGTCTAGTGGAGTTGATGGCGGAGGACCATCACTTCAATGCTGGTGGTCTTTGCTTCTTCCAGCATGCTGACATTTGTCCGGTTGTCTTCCCAGGAGATTTGCAGGATTTTTCGGAGGCAACACTGATGGAATCGTTCCAGGAGTTGCATGTGATGTCTACAGACTGCCCACGTCTCGCAGGCGTATAGCAGGGTTGGGAGGACAATAGCTTTATAAACAAGCACCTTGGAAAGTCTTTTCCTGGCTCTAGAAAGAGGACAGGGAAGACAACAAGTAAATAACCCAAGAGAAAGCTTTTCAGAGCTCATACAGAGAGGCTCTTAAAGATCTGCCTAAGCTTGAATCAAGCCTGGAAAATAAGGGAGTAATCATTTGTGGTTGTTTATCATGTTGCTGTTATTTTTTTGGATGTATCATCTTTTTCTTTCCTCTAATATATTGTCCCATTCTTTGTTCCTTGGGTCCTGCTTTCGCCCCTACAACTTGCAGTTTCATTCTTGTTTCTCAGATTTATCATTTTTACCACTGGAGAGACATAACTGTTGCTCTCAGAGCCTCCAGTGACAATTGCCCATGAGGTTGGAAGCTATTTGTACTATTTATACTTCATTGGACGCAACTGCCAGGGAATGGGGCAGATTTCTCTTTCAGAAGCCAGGTTTCCTGCCAGCACCTTTAAGAAAAGCAAGACAAGGATCCAGACAATGCTTCCATTTGATGCCCTTGGTAGCCAGTTCTAGCACACTGAGGACAATGAGATCTTCCCAGAAATCCAATGTTTTTATTGTCAACTGTTTGGAGACAAATTATAGCCAAAGTGCTGGAAATAATGCATTATTCTAATGCCGTCTCTGTTAATGACTTTGAGTGACGGCGACTCTCTCACAAGACTTTCTTGACCAGATTTATTCTGAGGAGGTTTGTCACTGCCTTCCTCTGAGGCTGAGACTTGCCCAAGGTCACCCAGTGTTTTTCCATAGCTGAGTGAGACTCAAACACCGGTCTTCAAGAGACCTAGGGCCCTTCCACACAGCCCTATATCCCAGGATATCAAGGCAGAAAATCCCACATTATCTGAGTGTGGACTCAGATAACCCAATTCAAAGTAGATATTCTGGGATTTTCTGCCTTGATATCCTGGGATATAGGGCTGTGTGGAAGGGCCCTATTCCAACAATCAAACCACTACAAACCTAATGGCAGTGGCGGTGATGGCAGTGTCTTCTTTTCCTTCCTATATTTAGTAAAATATAGACGTTTAGCAAATATATTCATTTTATGTCATTCTAATTTAGCTAGTCTATGATGGGCATGCACCTGGAGAATGATCTAGGTGAGAGACTACAGAGTACTCCCAAGTTCCTTGACTGCTAGCAGTCCAACTTTTGAAATTTCGACATCTGAACCTTACAGTAGTTTATTGTCAAAGGCTTTCATGGCTGGAATCACTAGGTTCTTGTGGGTTTTTTCGAGCTATAGGGCCATGTTCTAGAGGCATTTTTTTCCTCAGCGTAGAAGGAAAGTCAGGGAGCACAGTAAATGTGCTTTCCTGGTCCTTAGTTTCTCCAATTTCCATGTGTCTTGGAACAGTTTCTCCCCGTAGAGATGTTCAATGTATTGTCAAAGGCTTTCATGGCTGGAATCACTAGGTTCTTACAGTAGTTATGCTTCAGTCATTCAGTAGAAACTCCAATTGCTACCATTGACGGAATATGCTTTGGAGATCACCCAAACTTTCATTGAAGGGGTAGGGTTTGTGTTTGTAAGATGAGTTTTCCCCTACCTAATACTCTTGAACTGAAGCATTAGAGAACATCACTGAATGTTGCTCCTTTCCTTATGCGTATGGGTCTTCTCTGTATGTTTCTTTTTTCTTGGTGTTCCTTTTTTTATAGCTCAGGTTCCTTCCACACAGCTGAATAAAACCCCACATTATCTGCTTTAAACTGGAATATATGGCAGTGTGGACTCAGGGCATCTCCACACAGCAGAAAATCCAGAATATCAAGGCAGAAAATCCCACAATATCTGCTTCGAACTTGGTTATCTGAGATAATGTGGGATTTCCTGCCTTGATATTCTGAGATATAGGGCTGTGTTGAAGGGCCCTCAGATAATCCAGTTCAAAGCAGGTGTATCCCACTTGCCAAGTTCAGAAAATATTAGAATAATAAAAATGTCTGGGATCCTGCAAATTCACAGCCCTTTTTCCCGCTTCCTTGCTGTCTGGCCCCTTCCACACAGCTGAATAAAATCCCACGTTTTCTGCTTTGAATTGGAATATATGGCAATGTCGGCTCAGGTAACCCAGTTCAAAGCAGATATTGTAGGATTTTCTGCCTTTATTATGCTGGGTTATATAGCTGTGTAGAAGGGCCCTCAGATTCCTGAACTCCCAAGTACAGAAGAGTCCTTGAGCCCTTCCACAGAGCCCTATATCCCAGAATATCAAGGCAGGAAATCCCACAATATATGCTTTGAACTGGGTTATCTGAATCCACACTCAGATAATGTGGGATTTTCTGTCTTGATATTCTGGGATATAGGGCTGTGTCAAAGGGCCCCTTGCCACTGTCTCACTGAGATGAAGTCTGATTGGTAAGAGGGAAATCTGCTTGAAGATCTCTGCTTCAAAGAGGAAGAGCCTCTGGCATGCCCACCTCCTGGGACCATACCATGGCAGCCTAAATTAAGCCAGTGATTTAAGGCCAGCAGATATGCCAGAGCAGAAACAAAATGTCAAGATCTTTTTGTCCCTTGAGCTTCAGCTCTTAAGGGTACTTTGCAAAAGAAGAAGAATCCCTCAATGAATGCTAAGGGCCCTTCCACTCAGCCATATAACCCAGAATATCAAGGCAGATAATCCACAATATCTGCTCTGAACTGGATTATCTGAGTCCGCACTGCCATATAATCCAGCTTAATGTGGATTTTATATAGCTGTGTGGAAGGGTCCTAAAGCAGCAGCATTGCTTCTAAATTCAGTTCCTGATCATTTTTTCAGCTTCCTCTCCCTAATCAGATACACCTCACGCTCACAGAAAAAGCAGCTAGGGAGACAGATGCTCTTTGAACAAGTTACTGTTTGCACAATGGCCCTCCTGGCTTAACTACCAGACAGGGCCGTGTGCATGTAGCCCTAATTAGTCCTCATTAGTGATATCAGATTCCACTAATTAGATTCAGGTTGGGAAGTGAGGTGGGACTGATTGGTGTGGCATGCCTTCCAGTACTTCGCAGTTGAAAACTGCGACCCATGCAGCCAAGTGCCGATGAAGATGACAAAAGAGTCAATCAAGATGACAAATGTTTACTTATTTAGGTGATCCCTCATTGTCTGAGTAGGATAATCTTCCAGGGTGGGTCCGTAAATTACTGTGGAGCCTTATTCTTGATCTGCATCGTCTCCTGCAGTGAGGGGCATTGGTTTCCAGGTGGAAGACGATCCCAGTCAGGGTTGGCTTGACGCGCCTTCCTCTTGGCATGTTTCTCTCTTTCACCCTCCAGTTGTGCCTCTTCAAATTCTGCAACACTGCTGTTCACAGCTGACCTCCAGCTGGAGTGCTCACAGGCCAGGGCTTCCCAGTTCTCAGTTTCTATGCCAGAGTTTTTAAGGTTGGCTTTGAGCCCATCTTTAAATCTCTTTTCCTGTCAACCAACATTTCATATTCCATTCTTGAGTTCAGAGTAGAGCAACTGCTTTGGGAGACGGTAGTCAGGCATCCAGACAACGTGGCCGGTCCAGTGGAGTTGATGGCAGAGGACCGTCGCTTCAGTGCTGGTGGTCTTTGCTCCTTCTAGCACACTGACATTTGTCCACTTGTCTTTCCAAGAGATTTGCAGGATTTTCCAGAGGCAGCACTGATGAAATTGTTCCAGGAGTTGCATGTGACGTCTGTAGACAGTCCACGTTTCGCAGGCATATAGCAGGGTTGGGAGGACAATAGCTTTATAAACGAACGCAGGAAAAGATATAAGCTAAGGGAAGCTGCAGCAGTTTGCTCTTTTGTGAGACAAATGGAAAGGGCAAAACCCTCTCCCCTCCTGTGAAAGGACAAAAGGAGAAAGTGAAAAGAGAAGAAGGAAACTGGGACATTTTCAAATCAGCTAAAAGAGTGGAGAGAGTATTAAGTGGGGACCCTTCCATTCTGGGATTCTATATCCCAGAATATTAAGGCCAAAAATCCCACATTATCTGAGTGAAGACTCAGAAAACCCAGTTCAAAGCAGATATTGTGGGATTTTCTGCCTTGATATTCTGGGATATAGGGCTGTATAGAAGGGCCCTGGGATATTCCCTGCCAAATCAGGACAGTTGGAGGATATGTGCTATTCAGCCAGACTGGGTACATTCAGTCCCAACTGCTGTGCCTGCGTGAATTCAGATTTAGGCTCATAAATCCAACAGCGCTAAACATGTTGACAAAAGAATTCCTGTTAGTAGAATGTCATTTGAAAATCATGGACGGTGGATTGAGGTTTTATTCTCCCTTGGCAAAAATAATGAGACAGCTTCTTCTTTCTTCCTCTTTCCTTAGAAGCGTGGGGTCTCCTCAGAGGAGGAGGAGGGCGAGGTGGACAGTGAAGTAGAGCTTCCACTCCGGCAAAGGTGAGTCTTAAGTATTTGCAGCCTGCCTTATGGAGCATGTAGAGATAAAGATTTTAGAAACAACCTCTTCCATTTTCTCATCATTTTGAGTGCAGTTTTTGAGGGCACTGATGGATATGCCATCATCATTCCTCTTTGTTTATTTTGCACCAGAGGTGTAGACGGCATTTGGCAGAGTTCTCCTCACAAACTGGGTCATCTGTTTCTCAAAACGCTGCACAAATTATTCAACAAATTCTTTTAACTAAACATTTGCTGCCTGTGCGGGGAAATGCTAAATAATATATTAGCTCAAACTGGCATTGCGGCCGTATTTTTCCATTTAAGGAGCATTCACAAGCCTGTGAAAAAATGCCTTTAGCACCATAATGGACGAGTTCTGGGAAATAAATGAAGTCAATCCAGACTTCTGCATCACACCTTACAACTGTCCCATTTTGGCAAGGACACTCCTGATGAATGACTCCTTTGTATCCCACTTTTAATTGCTTTTCAAATATCCCAGTCCCCCCGTTTTGTCCTCTGCATTCTTCAATTGCTGAAAACTGGGTAGGAGAGGATGGGAGTGAAATCTTCCATTTCTCAGCAGGTTCAGGCAAAAGTAAACTATTGTAGTCTCTTCTAACTTTTCCTTTCACCCTACTAATACCTTTTCCATCTTGACCTCACCTTCTGTTGCTTGGTTATGTGCATTCAAGGGCCCCTTCCACACAGCTGAATAAAATCCAACATCTGCTTTGAACTGGAATATATGGCATTGTGGACTCAGATAACTCAGTTCAAAGCAGATATTGTAGGATTTTCTGCCTTGATATTCTGGGATACAGGTCTGTGTGGAAGGGCAAAATGGGACATTTGTAAGGTGTGGTGCACCTTTTTCATAAGTGAAAAATTGGAGGACGAGGTGCATGCGACAATTTAAAAGAGATACCAACAAGCTGGAAGATGTCCAGAGGATGAAGGCAACTAAACCGATCAAAGATCTGGAGACCATGAATCCCTATGAGGATCGCCTTAAAGAACTGGGGATTTTTAGCCTGCAGAAAAGAAGGCTGAGCGGAGACATAATATCCATGTATAAATATTTGAAAATATGCCATAAGGAAGAGGGAGCAGGCGTGTTTTCTGCTGCCCTGGAAATTAGGACTCAGAGCAATAGGTTCAAATTACAGAAAACAGGATTCCACCTGAACATTAGGAAGAACTTCCTGATCGTATGAGCTGTTTAACACTGGAACTCTCTGCCTCAGAGTGTGGTGGAAGCTCCTTCTTTTGAGGCTTTTAAACAGAGGCTGCATGGCCATCTTTTGGGGGGTGCTTTAACTGTGCTATTCCTGCATGACTGCTGGTTCGATTAGATGGCCCATGTGGTCTCTTCCAACACTATTATTCTACGCTTCTATGTAATACATATACTTGCTTTAAGCTGCAGTAGCTTGATCAACTGCTCTTTTGTTGGCTAAAGCATAAATATTTCCTCAGTTTCGATACATACTTATAGGTTTGCACTCATTATTTGGGAAATCCACATTCGTATGGAATAATCAGGAATAACCATTATCATTCAAATTCTGGTTTTGGTCTTGGACTCTACTAAGTAGAGGTTATCATAGATTTGGATGACTAGCTGCCTGCAAAAGAACCTTTGCCACTTTTGGCCCATCTTGCTTCAGAATAATGGGGGATGTGGGCATGAAAGTTGTACAAGGCAGAGCTAGAAACTCTCTAGGAGCTTCTCTTGGTCTCAGTGACGCCATTAGTCAAGGAAGCTCTGGCTCATGGACACAATCAGCCCACAAAGAAACTGTGTCCCATCTATGAGACATTGAGGGATTCCTTCCACAAAGCACTTACCCATTTGCACGTCATTCTCCCTCAGCCTTTGACAAGCAGTGGAAAATTGTATCCTTGCGTCTTCTCTCATCACCGACCATGTTTCAGATGGAAGTTCTTCTGTGTCTTGCTTATGCCGCACAAGGAAGGCCAATGGGATAGGGAAGAAGGACATCCTTAGTGAGATGCTTTCAGCCAGGCTTACAAGCCCTAATCTGGATTTAGCTTCCCTCGCTGGATGCCAGGATAAGAGAGGCTTTCCTCACCCAAAGAAGAGCAAAAGGAGGTTGGCAACTGAGTAGTTGAATTAAGGTGGTTGTGAGTTGGGGGAAGGTTCAGATTTCCCTCTGAAATTCAGAGGGAAGGTTTGTGTCCTTCCCTTTGAATTTGGATGTGCTGTTGTGCTGTTGTGGCTCTGTGCAATGACAGCCACATTGGATGCGCCATGTTCTTTGGTCTCTTTCTGGGCAACGGGGTTATCATTGTCCTGTTATCTCAGGAAGTCGAGTGTGGGTTGCTGTGACTCCCAAGCTAATAGCCTTTTTCCCTCTCTACATCTGACCAGGTGGCCTCAGGCCATGAGCAAGCGGCAGTCACTCTCCACTTTCAGCTCTGAGAACTTCTCTGACGCGGATGGCGAAGAAGGCACTGCCAGTGAGGGCACAACGGCTTCCCACAGCGGTGGCACACCAGACGTGGCCAGCACCAATACAGACGAGCGGCTGGACGCAGAGCGCTCAGATGATGATATCCTGGGTCACTCGGATGGGCTGTCTGAAAAGGAGGCGGCCATCCGTCTTGTCAAACGCCAACTCAGTGCTGAGCAGAATGGAGGGGAGGTGGGTGCAAAGGGAGAATCTGGGGGGTTGCCAAGGCTTCTTTGAGACTATGGGTCGGCTTTATTTTCCCCAGGAACAACTGAGGTAGTGAATGTGGGCAACCTGGAGATTTGAAAGACTCTTCTGGGCAACAGTTCCAGTTTTTAATGCAACTGAAATCCATTCATACATTACCTACATACATTACAATTTATGCCAGTGATTCTCAACCTGTGGGTCCCCAGATGTTTGGTCTACAACTCCCAAAAATCGCAGCCAGTTTACCAGCTGTTAGGCTTTCTGGGAGTTGAAGGCCAAAACATCTGGGGACCCACAGGTTGAGAACCACTGATCTATGCATTGCAGTGTTGTTTATTATTACTATAATGGATATATAGCAAGGATGGGTAACTTGTGCCTTGCAGATCCTGCCTGACTGCAACTCTCACCTGCAGCAAGCATAGCCATTTGTGAGGAATGACAGTAGTTAGACTCCAACAACTGAGGATGCATTTATTACCTAGCTAGTTAGACAGTGTCATTACCAAATATGGAAGTGGAATTCACCACCTTGAGGGAATTGCCTGCCATTTTTACATGTAAATGTTCAAATTTCCAGCTCCTGGGGCTGCAAAAAGAATTTTTAAAGTGTACGGACATTTTCCAAGTGAAAATTACAAAACAAAAGGAGGTGAGCAGGATTTCTAGTGGTCAAGAGAATGCAAAGTGTGTGTCCCAAATACCTTTTCGCCCATGACTTGTAGAACTGAAATAAATTATGCAGTGTAAGCATTCATGCAGAAGTGTTTTATCTACATAATGTATAAGGTTCTGTTTTCAGCTTTTCTCAGCACAGAACCTTTGCTTTTAAAGCATGATGTATGAACCAGCAAGAACTTCTCTGCTTTCCAACCATGTTTAGAGAAGGAATGCTTGGTGTGGACTCCAGCAATGTCTGGAAGGCAGTATTTTGCCCATTTGAGCCTTTCTTGTTCAACAGTCTGTTCCCACAAAGATGTCTCTGGGAGGCCCAGGGGTAGGAAAGCAACAGCACCTTCTCTGTGGCATTCCCCAGCAACTGGTTTTTAGAGGTCTTTAGAGACTGGAGATCCTGCATACCCTATATACTCGAGTTTACGCCAACCTGAATATAAGCCAAGGTACCTAATTTTACCACAAAAACTAGGAAAACATATTGACTCGAGTATAAGCCAAGGGTGGGAAATGCAGCAGCTACTGATACATTTCAAAATAAAATTAAATACCAATAAAATATATAGTAAATAAAATAAATAAATACAATTACATTAATCTAGGCATCAGGAGGTTAAATGTTTTTGAATATTTACAAAAAACTGTAATTTAAGACTGTCCAACTCTGATTAAATCTTTATTCTAACCTTCTTCAACATAAATGTGATTACTTCCAATAATCACCATATTTTATTTTAACTATACATTTTGGGGAAAATGTTGTGTGGAAAAGTGAGAAAGACTGGCGCCGAGAGAGGAGAGGAAGGTATGCGCTCGACTGAGAGAGGAGGAGAGGAAGGAGAGCTGGGTTGCTTTGCAAAGAGGTGAGGGTCCTGGCACGAAGGAGTGGGCCTGAAAGAAGCCTCTTTGAGCCCCACGGCTTCCCGCCAGGATGCTCACCTGAGCGAGTATAAGCCGCGGGGGGCTTTTTCAGCCTAAAAAAGGGGGCTGAAAACTAGGCTTATACTTGAGTACATACAGTATTGACATGACTGGAAGTGCTGTAAATACTCATGTATCAGTTAAACTCATATATATTTTAGGGCACTTTTGGGGATCAAAATTATGGATTTTGATATGACCCATGAAGAAGTTGAGAGTCATTCTTTGGCAAGAGGACCTAATGCCAACTCAAGGGCAAGTTGTCCTAGCCATTGCTGCCATTTCCCTTCCCAGGCAATAAAAAAGAGAGAATAGAGAGGGTCGGTGCTTCTTTTATATTATCCTGGGATGGAATAAGCTGTCTTATGTTGCCCGTGTACTTAAGAGAAGCTTCCTTTTTGGATGAGTTAGGATGCAGTACTCAAATTGGCCTGTAAATAAGTTGTCCCATGTTTTTTGGGTTGGTTGTTAGCCTTCTCACCTGTGATATTTGAGGGATGAGGTAGATCCTACTGATTTTCCTTCCTCTCCAACGCCTCTCTTGTTCTTTCTCATCCCAGGACCCTACTGCCTATGAGGATTCTGACTGCGACATTGCCGAACTGGACCATTCAGGCAGTGGAGAGGTGCAGAGACTTCCAGACATGCCCAATTTGTGATCTCACCTGCTCGGCTTTCCTTTCCCCAGGTTGTACAGACCCCCTCCCTTCCTCCACCTCCCTGCACCAACACCGCCTCCCCAGATATTTATATAAATAATCTATAAAGATCTATATAAATCTATATTATCGCATAATCTCTGGAAGGAGAGCCAGCACGCCTCATCGTCTCCCTCCCCTCCCTCACTTCTGGTTCCTACATTCTCTCGGACTGGCTGGGTATGCGTGTGTGGGTGTCGAGGGTCATGCCCTGCCATCGGGGCTCGCTGTTTGTACTCGGGGCAGCTGAAGATACAGAACAAATGAACACAGAACAAACCAACCTGTAGCCATTGCCCTTGCAACTCGGCAGAACAGCTTGTGTCCTACGGCGGGAGGAATCGGTCCCTTCTTCTCTGCTTCCTAAAGTCCTGAATGTTGTAAGCTCCAAAAGACCCACCTGTTCTACCAGGATCCATTGATGGGTCCAAGGAACAGAGAGATTGATTGAGAAAAGAGTTTGGCTGGAAACCTGGTGTTTTTGTCTCCCAGAGGAAGTGGCAACATGCATCAACAGGGCTCCAAAGTGCTTTGCCATATCTTGGATGGAGCGTGTGTATCCTGGGCCTCAGCCAGACTGTCTCTGAGAGGGACTTAATGCATGTTGGACCACAGTCAGCATGGAAACTCCCCCTTCCCCGTGTTCCACTAAGCCACAGCGTGAAAAATAAGTCTTTCTCATTCATCCCTTGTAGCCCTTCACACAACCAAAGCCAGAGTGTAACAACCTCTCTTCTTCCCAACGCACACATACACGCTTCAGTTCTTGGGAATGGGGCTCAGAGCTCAAAAACTGCTCCCATCCCTCACCTTCCAGCACTCAACTCTACTGGGTGGGTGTGGGCAGGTGTAGATATATGCACACACAACCACCACACATGTATATACACTCAACGTGGCCCATCACAATGTTGGGATGGGGAAAACAGCTCCATTCTGCTGTCTGCTGGCACCAACATGCACTGCACTTTTTAATTTATTTATTTATTTATTGGTTTTCTTAATTTATAATGAGGAATGTTTACATTTGCACTTAACGTGTGTCCCTGTCAGGTGGATTTTTTTGTGGTTGAGGGGTGGGGCAATGGGGGGAGAGGAAGGGGACGAAGGGGGCAGCAGAGGAGTACGCAAAGGGGGGAGAGAGGGATGTTGGTGACGCTGACTCCGCTTCTGCCTGAACTTGCTTAAAAGGAGAAAGGGGGCACCCTCAGGTTTTACACTTGCAGGGGGGAAATCTCCTTTCCTCTTGGTTTCTCAGGTGAAGGTCTTGGGTTAGGAAAGATGTTTTGTTCCCTTTGACATTTGTTGCTTATTTGTATTTGAGATACCCCAGGGATGTGAGGCTTAAAGTCAGTTTATACGCCAGAGTGGTCAGAAAGGCCCTTGTCCTGACGTAAAAATCAATGTAAGATGGCAGGACTTCATAAAAAGTGAAAATTTTGGGGTTAACTGTAGTTTTTCTATTATTGTTCAAAAGCAGTCTGTGGGCCATTCCTTTGGAAGAAGGGAACAAGGCCTTCCTGAATGATAAACCTGCCTGGTCTGCTGTAGGGCGACTTTGGCTTGCACAACACAAGTTGTGTGATTGTGCTAGCTTGTGCTCAAGGAAGGGTTTTCAAATGAATAATTCCCTTACATAGGCAGGGACCTTTGCTCATTAGCCTGTGCGCAAAAATGCCAAGACCCAATTTCATCCAATCCAGGGAGGGAATGGGGCGGGGAGTGGGATCCAATCTCACCCCTTTCCTTTCCAAGTCCTCTCTCTTCCCATATCAGAGCAGCACTGAAACTTAAAGAGGTACATCCCTGTGTTGCTCACAGTAGTTTATATGGAAGGGGCACCAAGCCTGCTGTTTAGTGGGATTCACAGAAATGGCTATGCTTTTGTTCATTCTCATCAGCCAGAGTCCTCTCACCTTTTGTATCCATCCGTGATTTCCAGAGTTCATCACAAGCAGGAAGAGTTCAATTTTTAACCTTGACTCAAATGTTAAAACCTACACTGTTCAAACATAGGCAGGTATGTGTCCTGGTGCTAATTCCTGGCAGCCCACAAGGAGATAAGGCTCACCTTAGGTGCCAAGGCAGCTGTTGCTTCCCCAAAAGGTTAGTTTCATTGCATAGCCACCAATAAACCTTTCCCAGAGAAAGGGGACATATAGCAGCAGTAGGAGAGATTGCACTTGTCCTAAGCAGTACTGCTAAGTAAGATCTGTATTACGCAAGGGCTGAAACACTTTCAATCCACCAGAGCTCAGGTAGACCAGCTGTGGGGGAAGAAAGTTGCTATTTGTGCAAGATTTGAGATTGGCCACCAATCCGAGTTCATGGTGCTAGCCTATTGGCATGAGTAAGAAGGCACCTTAGAGCCTGAATCCGAAGGATGCTACTACTATTGTTCCTGAAGTGATGTGATATTTTCCTGGAAGTTATCCCCAATCCAAAAAAGCAGGGCAAAATTGGCAATATCTGGACCCCTAGCAAATGTAATTTTCCCTCCGCAATACATTCTCAATTGTGAATGTTAGTGAGATGATTTCCAGAAAACAAAGACTGAAATGGGAGAGGTTATCTCCCCAGTATCTCCAACAACCTTCTGATCCATTGTGGCTCCCGTTAGTTCAAGTGCCGCTGTCTTTTCCAAAGGGTGACAAAGATGTCCACATACCGCATCCTTCACTAACAGTTAATTACCTTTGCTGAACTTTAAAACAAAAGGCAAGCAGGTAGAACGGAACCAGTACACAAGATCTCCCTTACCCGTGACCACGTTGCAGCTTAGGTCGTGGCCACCTACTGGGAGGTTGTGTCCACACACAGTAGATTACACAAACAGGGAGTGAAAGCATATAGCATATCTAAGCAGGCAGGGATGGCCTTTGATATGACCCTTGAAGCCTCGACAATTCAAAAAAAATCAAATGCATTCTATTCTATTTCATATTTTCATTTCTAATTTTTGTTTAAACGCATGGCTCACCTAGTCCTAAAGGTTTGCAGCAAGGCATTAATGATTTGCATAAAATCTATTAGAAAATAAAATCTCTTTTTTTAAAAAAGCATCATTCTAGTTTCTTGCCCTACTCTCATAGCTAGTTCAAAATAGAATAAATTATGGGAATCAGGAAAATTATGCCCATGTATATATTTGCTAGTCAGAGCATTCACATGCATAGAATTCAAATTTGATCTTTCTTAGCAGTGTCCATACAGCTTACTGCAAGTTCCCTAAAAGTCAACCACAATTTTGACTGATTTCCAAACATCCTGGAAAGTCTTCAAAAGGAAGACAGCGCTTCCAAGCATCTACATCAAAACACGGTGCAGTGATTATTGATTTCAAAGTAGCCATATTAAGTTTCTTGCAACATAAAAAGGAGGGAGGGAAACATGCCAACAGCATTACAACATTCAATTCGCATGAACTATCATGGACACAAACTTTTTTGGATGCAGTACCACTTGGGTAGTGGCATACTGAATAATGCAGGAATTGCATCTAAAAAGTAGGTTTTATCACAAAAGCTCATGAGAAAATAAAAACTAGCCCTAAAGTTCCTGCTATATTTCCTTTATTTTCCTCTCCCATTTTCTTTCTTCTTTTATAATGGTTAAGAATGGCTCTTTTATGAGTGTATGTCAAAATATGTCATATTTTAGGGCCAAATTCTCAGTGATACAGACACCACATTTTAATATATTTCTGACCAAATTGTGTGTAGAGAAGAAGGCAGATTACAAAAGGATTTGCTGTCTTTAGTGCCTTCAACAATAAAGATATTAATATGTGCTTAGCTAGATCTCTAGAGATACTAGCTTCGTGCATTCACTGAGTTGAAGGCAAATATATCCAGTGTTTACATGGCCCCTCATGCCATCAGATCCACTGGGCAAGTAGAATAGTATTTGGAATAGTCTTCATGAGGAGGTGCTCTGCTTTAGAGGGTGCTGTGTAGAAGACAAACAAGACAGGTTAACTGTAGATCAGCCTCAACCAAAGCAGTTCTTAGATCAATGTATTGTCGAAGGCTTTCATGGCTGGAATCACTAGGTTCTTGTGGGGTTTTTCAGGCTATGGCAAGCATCCTCAGAGGTAGTGAGGTCTGTTGGAAATAGGACAATGGGTCTATATATCTGTGGAATGGCTGGGGTGGGGCAAAGAGCTCTTCTCTGCTAGAGCTAGGTGTGAATGTTTCAACTGACCACCTTCAAATGCTAATGAAGGTGGTCAGTTGAAACATTCACACCTAGCTCTAGCAGAGAAGAGCTCTTTGCCCCACCCCAGCCATTCCACAGATATATAAACCCATTGTCCTATTTCCAATAGACCTCACTACCTCCGAGGATGCTTGCCATAGATGCAGGCGAAACGTCAGGAGAAATGCCTCTTGAACATGGCCCTATAGCCCGAAAAAACGCACAAGAACCTAGTTCTTAGATCCCTAAAACAAAAAGAAATTCTAGGTCCTGGCAGGTTGCAAGATACAAGGCCTTGCTACTGTTTTTCATTCACCATTTTCATGCTGGGGAAATGACTTTCCACTTCAATGCTAGAGGTCAGACACATCTTCTGGGTACCATGAAACATGCCCCATGTCTTCTTTTTTTAAAATAAATCTGAAGGACATGAGTTATTGTCAGTCTCACTGAGAACAGAGCAGGCCTTAACAGATATTAGTCCCGATAGTAATGTAATAAATCCACATACAGCCATAATAACTAATAATGACCTTGGCACTAGAGGAATAAGGGTGCAACACCAATCCACTGCAATGGATTAACATGGAACCATTATTCAGGGGTATAGCACTTGCTTCCTATTAACGAATGCCCACTTTCAAAGGCTAGCACTTAAGGAATGTCAGCATCTTAGGAGAGCGGCTGCCAGACAGATGAGAAAATAATAGACTACTTTGACAAGTAGTTCGACAGTAGGAATTTGCATTTTTTTAAAAAGGAACCTCACCGGCAACCAAAATGATCATTTAGCCTCTAGAATGAAATCACTAGAATAGTTTGCCTTCTGTACAGAGCGCCAGTCTTGCAGATGGTATAAGCTCTTCTGAAAGTCGGGATGGTTAAATTTTAGGGCAGTAGTGCTCCTTTTTCTGCTTGGGTCAACCTGGGCCTCTCTTATGTAACTTCCCAATGTCGCCATTTAGCTTTTCATAGCTGCATTCTTTCCATCCACCCCTCCCAATCAAGCTATCACAGGGCCTGCCCTTTAAAAAAAGGTTGCACTGCACAGCGAGCATGACATCTGACCCATCCCAAACACTCCCAGCCCAGTTTGTCATTCTTCCTGTGGAAGGCAAGTTCTCAGTCTCTTAGGTGAAGCCATATGTCTTACCACTTTGGATCTGTGTGTCCTCTACGCTTGTTTTAACATCCACCCTTGTAAGATAGATCATGTCTGTATGGTAATAACATTGCTAGATGAGTAATGGCACTGCAGATTTCAATTAAAGACCATTTTGTATTCAACATTGGCATGCTCTTTATGTAACTCTATATGTTCCTCAGATTTCCAAAGGCAAGCACAGTATGCTTGTGTGTGAGAATGTTGTGGGTTGTGGAAGCAGGAAATTTATAGAGAAATGCTCTATTTATATTTCCTTATGCTCCTAAGAATTGCTGCTTACAATGACTCTATCAATGAAGCATGTGTCTAGTCTTTAAGGCTCTGAAGGTATGGTTGAAAATATGAAGGTATTGCCTACTTCAGTCTCAGAAAACTGAGCAGCAACTTAAGAAAACTGACAATGAATGAACCTACTTTGTTGCCCCTCTGGTCAAATTATGATAACGAGCAAATTAATTTGGCACAATGTACACTCAACTATATCTATTTACACACACACCTTCGTCT